AGTTCTGCGATGGCAAAACCAAACAAAACAGAAGTGCATGGCTGGGTTAAGCTTATGGAAGCTTCAACCTATTTCTAGTGGACTGGGGATAATGCTATCCGACATATGTACTGTACTCTAAATACACACCTTGCATACTTGCTGACCTCAGTGCAGCACTTTGGAAATAATTGTGTTAAAAAATGTGCTATATAAAAAAGTGGATTTGTATTTGCATATTTATACACTTTTTTGGACACACTTTTTATGTTATCATTAATTCATTCCATACACGGTGGTGATAAACTACTGCTGTAGCCACAGCTGCCCTGGTGCACACTGACAGAAAGGAGGCAACCAGTATGTGCCATTAGCCCCTCCGACCCCTACCAGGCGTTCGCTCCCTCACCAGACTCATTCTTGGCAATGTCGGTGAAGTGTCTTGGGTGAAGGACACAGCCACAGTTTGGCCCTTTACTGCCGCAGCCGCCCCACTGTGGCACCTGATCTCCCATCACAGTACTAGTAAACTAAAGTAAAAGCGCACTTAATTAAGGCCTGTAGGGCAATTCATCCTCTGCATTTGACCCATTCTGATGCCACTAAGGCTTACGTCAGGAGCAGTGGTCGCCGTAGTACATCGCCCAGGGACTCATCTCCATCTCATGCTCAGCTTAGACACGCAGACACAGGGAGAACATGCAAACTCCATACAGAAAGGCCCTGTTCCGACCAGGATTCAAACCCAAGACCTAGGACCCAGGATCCACTAGCTCCTCACTCTCTAAACAGTTTATGTTCTATTACTGGTTTTCACAGCTTTTTCAGACAGAAGTGATAAAAGAGGACCACCCTCACTCAGCCAATCAGCTCTCAGCCCAAATCATCAAACAGTTTGCAAAAACTGTTAAAGTAAAACAAACACATGAATACTTTTTAAACTTTTTAAAGGGTGAGGTTTGCCACATCATTTACAAGATGAATAGAACTTTTCTTTTGTGTTTTCAAATATATACATCTTCCATGTTTGAAATTACATTTGAAGTATTTATATTTTTAACAAAATTTCTTCACACACATACTTTTGGAGTAATGTGACTGTATGTATAGCCAAATAAAGCATATGGTAGTATATACTATATCAAATCAAAAGCTGTATTCCTGGTTTGATAAACCTGTATACATTGAAAAAACTTGTCTGAAGCATCACCTGGAAGGTAGGAAGAAACATTAATCATGATGTGTATACTTATTATACTTTCTCAGCCCATGCAAATCACTTTAAAACAGTCAAATGTTATCACTGTGATAGGAAACTTGACATAAACCATATGTAGCTGTTGCCTTTTTGATGTTTGTCTTCATTCGCTCTCAGCCACGTCTCATTCTCTGTTCACGAGCTGGACTCTTCTGGAAACACTACAGAGTAAAACAGAGGTCACCGCACACTCATTTCCAGTCGGCTAACAGCATCTCCCCTGACAGAATACAAAACGCCTCTTCAAAAATGTCACTATACTGACCACTCTACACCAAAGGCTTGACATTTCCCAACATTGTGCAGCATAGGCTATTTTTACCCAGTGTTTTGACGTGTCCGTAAAAAAGAGTGAAATGGACCTGAAGGTGTGTGTATGTCAAGTCTTTAAGGAGTATTTACATTTTACACGCAATAACCATACAATTACCATGTACCTGTCTGGTGCACACTGGCGTAAGCTTGGATATGTGCAGTAATTCTATGTAGTTTTACTGTCTGCTCTGGAGAGTAGCTTCAGTGACAGACTTCAATCAATCAATCAATCAAATCTTTATTTGTAGAGCACATTTAAAACAGCCTAGGCTTACCAAAGTGCTGAACAGACAGCGAGGAAAAATTATAAAATAAAAACACATAAAATACAGAAATGTATATACAAAAAGAAATCGAAAAATTTGTCTCTGTCTACTTGGTAGTAAAAGCCAAAGAAAAAAGATGCGTTTTAAGCAGGGATTTAAAGTGCTCGAGTGATTGTGCAGTTCTGATGTGCAAAGGTAAAAAGTTCCACAACTTTGGCCCTATAACAGAGAAAGCTCTGTCTCCTCTGGTCTTCAGCCTGGTCCTAGGGACGACAAGAAGGTGCTGATCTGCAGAGCGCAGTGCTCTGGAGGGAAGGTGAGGCTGGAGGAGTTCATATAAATAAGAAGGTGCCATTCTATTAAAACTTTTAAAAACGATAATAAGAATTTTAAAATGAATTCTAAAATATACCGGGAGCCAGTGCAGGGATTGCAAAACAGGAGTGATGTGCTCCCTGCGCTTTGTCCCTGTTAAAAGACGGGCTGCTGCATTTTGCACTCCCTGTAAGCGGCTGAGCTGGGCCTGGTCAATGCCGACATAGAGGGAGTTACAATAATCAAGCCTGGACGTGATAAAAGCATGAATGGCCTTCTCAAAATGGGCATGTGGAATATAAGATTTTACTTTGCTAAGAACTCTGAGATAATAAAAACTTGTTTTAAGAACAGCATTTATCTGCTTATCAAATTTAAAATGGCTGTCAATAATAAATCCTATATTCCTGGCGTGGGGCTTTTCATAAACCATAAGAGGTCCTATAGCACTGTCACAGTTCAGCAGAGGGTCAGAAGTCCCAAAGGTAAGTATTTCTGTTTTCCTGTTGTTTAAACTAAGGAAGTTATCTTGCATCCATTCCTGAACTTCCTTCAAACAATCAACAAGTGTCTGTACACAGCTGCTAGTCTGAATGGGCAGATATATTTGGACATCATCAGCATAGCAGTAGTAGGAAATATTATGCTTCTCAAATATAGCTCCTAAGGGAAGCATGTAAAGACAAAATAGGGTAGGGCCCAAAATACTGCCTTGGGGCACTCCACACTTTAAATTGGACGCTTGAGAGGAGAACTGGCCAAATTGAACAGAAAAGGTTCTCTCAGTCAGATAGGACTGGAACCATTTAAGTGCAGTTCCTGTGATGCCCACTTGTTGCTCGAGGCGTGCAATAAGAATATCATGGTCCACCGTATCGAACGCTGACGATAAATCTAGGAGAACTAGAGCAGAAGGGCGGCCTGAGTCTGAGACTGAATAAAGATCATTAAGAACTCTAAGAAGAGCAGTCTCAGTACTATGCTTGGCTATGAAACCTGACTGAAACTTCTCAGTGATGCTGTAAATATCAAGATGGTCCTGTAGTTGAACGAGAACAACCTTTTCCAAGATCACCCTTATTACTTATTCACCCTCGCTGTGTGACAGTCATTCATCTGTGAATAGTCAATACTGTAATCATGTGCAATAATGCAACTTCATGTCACTTTTCTCTTTATCCTGCCCTAAATGTATATAACTTTGCACTATATATAGATATAGATATATTGATATTGAAGCATTTACAGCAGGCAAAGAAACATAGCGGCTACTTATATTGCTATTTAGTGTGCTCCCTGAGTGCTCTTACTACTGTCCTGTATGTGCACTGCAACATTGAAATTTCCCCACTGTGGAACAAATAAAGGTTCTCTTCCACTCTGATTACTGCAAATGGCAAATAAACTGAATCTGAATCTGTCTTGAAACTGTGAGAGTCTGCAAAAACTGAGCAGTTTGAAGATATTTGTCTTTACACTCGTGGCCATGATTAATAATAATAATGCCTCTGAAATATACAGGATTTTAACCAACCACTTGGCAACCATCGCAGAGCAGTGTGTCTTGCCTAAGGACACTACATTACACTCGAGAGCAGAGACACTGAGCTTGGGAGAGGGTTAATGAATTCAACACAATATACTTAAGATGTATAAGTTAAATTAAGTCAAATAACACAATCAATAAAAAAAAAAACACACAATAGATGCGTCAGCTCTGTATATTATCACTATTATTAATTGGCTTTTTGAGTTGTTTCTTGCCGATGCAGGTCAGTGGTGATGATCCAGGACATTTACAGGCTTTGGGCAGCGACCCCTTATGGACCAATGGCTTCTATGTTTTGACCTCATCAGACCCTTTATGAGGTCTGGCTTTCACATGTTGTTGCCCCTTTTGATTATCTCCACTTATATTATATTTTTATATATATATTTTGGAAGGAGGTTTGGAAAGATGCGTATAGTGAAAATATAGTCCTCAAAAGGCGGTGTGGCTGCAGGTTTTTGTTCTCACCAACCAGGCCCTAGTTGAATGGCATGACAAATGATAATCCACTGTGTCAATATTGTATGTCCTGCTTGGATATGGGCAGCTGTCACAACTGTTACAGCCATACTGTGAACACCAACGCAAATGAAAAGATCAAGCCAGATATATTTAAACTCATTAAAACATGTCGCAATCTGATTGTCAAAAGGTATCATAGTCACTTCAACAAACAGAAAGAAATTGTTGAAGTTTATCCATTACGACAGAGTAATGTATAAATTCAATATTGTTATTTTTTATTATTATTTTTTATTTATTTGATTGTCCTTGTCAACACATTACATATATACATCACATCAAAAATATTGTCTTTACATTTGTGAAACATCAAAAGACTTAAGAAAATCCTGCCCCTCGTTTTGCTGTTAAAACCCATTTTAACATTTTCAGGCCCAACATTATTCGTCACCCACCCCCAATGATCAAGCAAGACATAAATAACACCATGTTTTACAAAAGAGTTGATTTATGAGTACCCTTAAAGAGTAGCTCTCCCTGTATGTACTGTATTACTTGCTAAAGTTTGCGTTTATCTTGTAATTCGAAGTCCCTAACAGTAATGTCGTAGTCAGTGCATTTTAACCTCTATGATCCTTATCTTAAGACTCTCAATATCAACCTATTCTCCCCTGCTCCAGCGCTCCGTGGTCTCATGGCTGTACCTCTACCATTAATCAGACAGTGTTTACTTCCTGACTGCAGTTAAGGTGCTTTGACCGGTTCCAAACCAATAAAGCCGGAAACACCAGGGGAATGCGTGTGCACATAATGAGCAGCGGTGTGCTATCTTCTCTTTGTTTCTCTTTCACTGTAGGTGGAGGCGGCTACAGACTCGGAATCAGAAAGTAAAGGCTTGCGGGAGTACCATTCGGTCGGTACTCAAGTGGAGGACGACAAGAAAAGGTAAGAGAGAGAGAGTTCACAGCTTGGTCTCATGTGAGTTGGTGATGTTCTGTTGCACATGTGTCAAACTCATTATAACAGTAACTTTGAGCCCATTACTTTGAGGGTAATGGGCTGAACTTCATTTTTAAGCTAATTTTCTCAGGACAAAAACAATATCATTGAATCTGGCTTAAACTTGTTTGAACAGATGTTAACTAACGTGTAATTATAAGTTAAGTAAAACTGAGAGATTTCATATTTTTTATCTTTCTTTTTAATGTACTGTGATTATTTATGATTTTAATGTTGTAATCTTGATTTGTTCAGCACTTTGAGTTGCCTTGTGCATGAATTGTGCTCTACCAATAAAAATGTATTGGGCCAAAGATTTATTTTGTTTTATGTTTAATCTTTAGTTACATCTTTTTTAGATTTTTGGCCCAGTTGTGATTGGATTCAAACCAGAATAAAAACTAGAAAATAATATCCAAACTCATGTCATATAAAATTAGTTTATCAAAATACAAAAATGTGTAAAAAAAAAAATATGTATAGTAAAACATTAATAATCATAATAATGAGAGTAAACTTTTATACTTTTGCCCCAACCTGCTCTTATGTTTTTTAACTTGGCCCCTGCACAAAATGAGTTGGAGACCCCTGTTCTATAGAATGTGTCAAACTCATGGAAACCATTGACAGAAATCTATTTATATGGCTGTCGTGGCATGTCATACCTCGTTATGAAGCTAAGGTTGTCAAGAGAACAACTTTCTAACTTTAATGTATTCAAATCATAAATAAAACTCAACACTTATTTAGATATAGTTAAATAAAATAGATAAATCAAAGCCTTCTCTGTCCTTGCTCCTTGGCTGCAGCCCGAGACCCGCCCGAGGAGATAAGGCCAGCACCATCAGTACCATCTTTAAATCACTTCTTAAACCCCGCTCCTTTCATTTGTCTTTTTTAAACTTCACGTATTACATATTTTATTGAAAACCACTTTTATAGTTTTGACCCCCAGCCTGCCATTTTTTTAATGCGGCCCCCAACCAAGATGAGTTTGACATCCCTGTTCAATAGTGTCTGATGGCCATTCATGTTCCTTAGTGTCTAATCCACAAATAACCTCAAACATATATTTTGTACAAGATTGAACATTTTTCATGAAGGGCCATGAACCATTTTATACATTTTTATTGAATAGATTTATAATCAACAATTGTACAATACACGAATGGCTAAACTCTTGCATGAATGTGAATTATATTTATGGAGTGGGAGTCCCTGTTTTGACTTCTCTCACACTCCATTTTGAACTGACAATAAATATACAACGCACGGTGAAACGAGGACAAATATTGTTGCTTGAATGTTTATTTATGCTCATATATTTGCACGTGTAAGTATATACTGTGATCACAAAAAGCAACTTGTACAAAAGGTCATGTTAACTGGGGAATGTTAATGTTGTAAATACTTATGAAAGATTTCCGCTTGAATGATTATAATCAATCCATCGATCAAATATAGTTGTGCATGAACGGTTTCACTTACAGGCAGACGTTTTGGGGGAAAACAGGTTAAATTAAATGCAAATGTTATTCAAACGTTCATTCATTTCTAACCCAATGAAATGATTTAGACTCATTACATGCAAAGTGACATTTTTGATTGATATATTTGATCGTTATTGTGATGATTACAGCTCACACTTAATGTATTCTTTGTTCTTTTTACAAGCTGTGAGAAATATTCTATCTTTCCCAGGTTCGCCTGTATTTTCAAGGTTATGAATAAGTATTTTTCACTTGACATTATAATACTCCTTTTAACATCTGTGATAGCTTGGAGTCTTCTGTGGTAGTTGTGGATGGAGGGTCTTTATCCTCTGCCCGGGTCAAGTACTCTCTTGGGCCGCCTTGTGCATAAACTGTACATTTGAGATCTCTTTAAATTGTCTGAATGATGTTATACTTAAAAAAAAAAAATAGAGCGCACTATAAATTTGAATACTTTAAATTGAGCCATACAAAAATATAACATTCTGCGCCATTCAGAAAGCCCTGTAGCCACACACATGGGCAACAAAGAATGGAGAACAAAACAAAAAAGGTACAGGGAGAATCTTTACAACATAAATCCTTATTGAAAATGACACATGGGGTTTGGCCCAGAAAGGAGAGGGAAGAAGAAAACGTATGTGCTCCCACGCCCGCTCCCATTGTCTGACAATATTTAGTTTCACACAACCACTAACAATGATTGGAAAAAATAAATATCCAAAATATGGCTAAAACTATGGCAATTCTGGGTTGTGGTGCAAACACTTAAGCACGACTGAATATGCAACAATCATAATAGCTACTAGATAAATGAACACTGGAGACACTGGACTTTATCATAAACAGCATTTATTGAAGATTGTGCATTTCTCGTATTTGATTAGTTTTGCTGTAAAAAGAAAAAAAACATCACTATTTTAATAACTTTTCATCATTTGTGTGTGTTTCAGTCAGGGCCGGTTCAAGCGCTCCAACAGTGTAACCACCGCAGTCCAAGCAGACCTGGAGGTGGAGGGCTTTCCCATCATGGAGGACAAGGGGCTGCAGTTCGGAGGGGGCTTCCAGCGGCACTCTGAGCCCAGCACGCCCACTCAGTACGGGGCCGTGCGCACCGTTCGCACCCAGGGCCTCTTCAGCTACCGGGACGACTACCGTACCCCCACGGAGCCCTCCAGCCCCAGGGAGAGCAGCAGTGAGGCCACCTGGCAGCTGGAACCCCCCTCCTCACGGGACAGCACCTCCTCCCCCGTGGAGTCAGGCCGGGTCTCCCCCTCCCTGAGGAGAGACGGCACCTGGTTCATGCAGCTGCTGCACAACGAGACCAAGAGGATGGAGGGATGGTGCAAAGAGATGGAAGCAGAGGCCGAGGAGAACGATCTGACGGAGGAGAGTGAGTGGCTAAATTATACAGGAGATGTCATTTGAAACGAGGACGTAGATAACAGTGTTGTTGGGAAATGACAAACATTATGTAATTATATTTAGGGATTCACCAAATCTGGGACACATCTATTTTGGTTTTCAGTATCTGTTGATACCTGATATGAACAAATACAAGTGAGAGGATTGAAAATAGCACTTTCACCAAATCAGTGCTAACTTAAAAACACACAAACAAAAACAACAGCACAAATAAATACCAAGTCACATGTTGTGGAGTCTGCATGCTGTCTTTATCTATCAGAAAAGACGGTATATTTTGCATACCGTGAGTGCCCTGTGAGTCACTGTTTGACGCTTTGGGTTGAGTGAACTGACTTGGGTTTAGTGGTTCTCTATTTTTTTCACGTTTCTGTCTGAAAAAGCTGTGCAAATGATGTGACAGAGGCCCAAAAATATATATATATATGTGAAAGTTGAGATACGGTGGAACCCAACTGTTTTGAGAAGTTAAGTTACATTTTATAACAATGTTAAATGTTTAGTTTAGGTACCGCAGCTTTAACAGGAATTTAGACTAAGTAATCTTTATATATATAGCGCCTTTCACAGACCAGAGTCACAAAGCGGTTTACAATTGTTTTTGTGGGAATTCTTCTCTCACTCCACACGGAGATGGGAGTGGGGTCGCTGTACAGGAGGCACATACCTGACCTATTGGACATGTTTTTAGTGGTAGGGAAAACCAGAGCACCTGGAGGAAACCTACACATATTTCCTCTCTTTTTAATGGAATTCTCAGCTCAAATTCAATTCAAATACTCCCTTTCCAGTGTTTTCTAATGGATCTTCGCACATTCCCTTTGTTACAGGCAAAAATAACAAACCCAGACAAGTGATTCGCGTCAAGTCTGTTTTGTCTCCAACTTCCTGGGTTTTTATACACCAGTTGATATGCTAATCACAACGACTGAAAGGCCTGATATCCTGGAACCAATACCCGAGGCTAAAGTCTTCCACGATCTGAAATTATATTTGAAACCAGTGTTGGAATATATGTTTGTACTTGGCAAAAAATTAAATATAAAGAATTTAAGTATTTGTCTTCCCATTCTAGTAAAGCCTGTGTTCTTTCTCAGTTTCGCCAGCCGAGCCTCATATTCCACAGTTTTTGAAGATGTGTGTTTTCTTTATTTGAGAAAAATATGTATTCAGGTGTTTTGATGCACAAATAACTTCAGAATAGTTTGCTTATTCACTTGCAGAAAATAACTGTTTGATTGTTTTCTTTCAGCCCTGGGCAAGATCCGGAGTGCTGTGGGGAGCGCTCAACTGCTCATGTCTCAGAAATTCCAGCAGTTTTATTGGCTGTGTCAGCAAAATCTGGTAAGAGACAAAGGCGGCATGAAAAAGAGGGTAATATTGTCTTGGAGAGCTGTAAATCTGTGTCTACACTGTCGCACTGTGTGGCTCCGATCCAACAAGCAGCTTCTCTTAAAGTCATCAGTACATTTATGAGTCAAACTGTAGAACGTTTGAACAATGTTATTTTTTATTTACAAAGCTGATAAGATAAGATTGTCCTTGATTTGTCCCACAGTGGGGACATTTCTGTGTTGTTTTCAGCACTCATTACAGTAGAATTAAAATGTAGAAAACAAGAGCACCCAGATTTCACAATTCAAACAGAATCTATTAGATAGCTAGATAGATACTTTATTGATCCCGTAGGAGAAATTCAGGTGTCCAGTAACAGCAAAAAAAAATAATAAAAAAATAAAGTAAGTAATAAAGCATAAATAATCAGCAACAGCCCTTCACAGCAGCAGTTCACAATTTTATTATCTATTATTAAAGATAACAGATATTAAACATGAAATAATAAAATATAAGTAATAAAATAATAAAATTCTCTGGAGGTATTTACAGATTTGTATATTGTACTTTAGCAGCAGAGAATATGACTAGAATAAACAGTAAAAACCCATGTGGACTAGTATTGAAATTGTGCAATAACACTTACAGCAATACATCTGGTTCGTCCAATGTTATTGTTGTGTCCATATGAAATAATGAATAATAAAATAACAGCAGCAGGTAAAGTGACGGGTGAATGACAGAAATATCAGATTAATGTGCGTGTAATATTCCAGTAATAGTAGCACACCAGTTCCGTTTATTTCTTGTCTGACTTTATGTAAAAGTTTATTAACTTAAGCTTAAAACCAATGTCTAAATTTAACTTCACACAGGTGCAGATCACAGTAGGGATCGCTTATTAGCTGCAGAACATAATAGACCTACAGCATGAAGCCGTTTTCAATTTGGATTCTATATGCTCTATGAACTCTTCACAGTTCTGCTTACACAATTTTGGAGTCGATAAAGTATGTATTATCCTTAACTTTCTAACGATCCCCAGAATAATGCAAACATTTTACCTTACCATTTCTGCACTACATTGTAAATCTAGAAGTCCTTGAAGTGCACCTAAATGTTTGAACTTTTAGATACATTTTAGCATGAATTCTGATCCCCTGCCTCTTTACTGAAGAAAATAACCAGTGTATTTGTAATATAAGCCGGACTACCTGATTTCCTTGTTCCATAAATAATACATTTTGTTTGTCTCAAAAGAAAGAGCCTTGTGAAAATCCAATGGTGTAGATGGTCTTGTCTTTTCACTTTCTGTCTGAAAAATGGTAATGTGACAGAGGCCAAAAAATACATCTGTTTGTTCAAATCAAGGACAGAACCAAACTGTTTTGAAAGCAAAGAACTAGTTGTATTTTATTAAATTTTATGTTTGAACGTTAAGTCGTCTTTACACTATTCAGTCTTAGAATAAAGAATCTATATTAATATTAATTCACTATCAAGGACCATACCACAACAGTTGAGTGTAATTATAATATGTTTTTGATATCAGCAGGAAGGCTTTTGATGATGGCGGAGTGAGACAGATGCAGGATAGATGAGAGACACGGGTGGGGTTGAGACAAACAGTGACATGGGGAAGGCCAGAATACATGTTAATTAAGGAGTGAACAAGGAGAAGAAGGTGGTTTAGGCCCTGCTCCGAAACCTTTACTGCAAAAAGTGATGAAAAATAAGTCGAAAGTTTCTCAAATTTGGTAAAATGTATCTTAATTTGAGCACATTTTGACTGCCTTAAAACCAGATTTGCCGATGGGACAAAGCAAAATGATCTTGTTTTAGACCAGATATGTGTCCTTTGAAATGAGAAAATACAGCAACAGTTCTTGAAATGGGACTAAATGGCTTTTTCCCGTTGGCAAATTGTGTTTTAAGACTGTCAGAATGTACTCAAAATCACTCAATTTAAGCATTTATTACTTCATATTTTATATTTGTTTGTTGTGTTTCATAACAACTTATCCCCCACATAGCAGCTTTACACAGAATAAAACAACATTTGGCTTCGTATTAAAGATTTGATGTCCCACAAAATATTCTGCTGCTGGTGTTGTGCGTGTTGTGGAACAGAGCAGAACAATTCTCTGGAGGAAAACGCTCTTGGATTAAACACTGCACTCTCAGCCAAGGCTTAAAATGCACTCCTCCAAATGTGTGGGCTATGGATATCTGCGACTTTACAGACAGTTCTGAGAGGGAAATGATGAGTTCAGGGGTCAGAGGAAAGCCGATCATCCGCTGAGGCAGTCCTGTGGTAATTACACATCAAAACGTACAGCCGTCTGAACACAAACGCCGCTGAGGGAGTGCCATGTGGTATGGAAGACTGAACGACTCTCATCAAGCTTATTAGAATGGGCCATTGGTGATATAGTATTTATTGTATAAGTCATATAAGAAAAGAAAAAAATTTACAGGACAGGGGTGTTAAAAAGGCAATTGTTATGGCCCCGAAAATGACGCTAAATTGTTTTTTTTTTATTAGTATTGATGGTTTGAGAATAACTTATGATAACAATGACGAGATCCTTTATTGGTCCCACAGATAACTATAACATTAATTAACATGTAATCTTAAATAACATATTCCAATTATGTTTGTATAAATGAGGTATTTGGAGACACAGAAATATACAAAAGTACATTCTTTAATATGATGCAACACAGGATATGTGTATTTATGGTGGCCCATAAGAGCGACGCTATATTAGCAAAGTAGTAAAACCACCATATAAGAACATTTATTCTTAACAATAAACTCAACTGAACACATTGCATTCAGAAAATCTTCCAGAAAACAATCTACAAACTCCTGTTAAATAAGAGTTATCAGAGTAAATGCATTTGTCCGTCTATTGGCAGTGTTCAAAAAGTTTCCAGATACAGCCCTTTCCTTATTCATAGCTTATGTAGATGCTTGTTTGTAGCTCTGCGCCCTAGTGGACAGATGATGCACTGCAGGCACCCCCCCCTCACACTCTTTGCAGCAGTGCGTTTGGCTGCCAGCAGTGCAGGTCATTGTTATGGATTCCCAGCGTTGCAGCAGTGGCCTGGGGTGCAGTAAAGTGTGCTGCTCTTTACAGGACCCCAGTGCCATGCCCCGGCCCACCTCCCAGGACCTGGCCGGCTTCTGGGACCTGCTGCAGCTCTCCATCGACGACGTCACCATGAAGTTTGATCAACTGCAGGAGATCAAGAACAACAACTGGAGGCCTTTGGAAAGCCCTGAGAAAAAGGTAAAATCTGTAACTACTGTATAATAGGGATGCATGATTTTGGCACAGTATCTAATAATTTTTCAAACAACGTTGCGATTGTGATATGATTTTCAATATTCTGTACGTCACAAAAGTAAAATAACAACTTTTGATACGCGTACATACGTTTCTTTCATTCATTCTTGCAGCTTGAAAATCTGAGCAGCTGAATTTACCCTTTAAAAATGGTAAAAACTTTGCAACACAGACATTTTAACATTTCACATTCATATTGCATCAGTGAAAGTCTGAGAAGTTGTCTTTGCTCAAATGTCAAAATATGAAGCGATTAATTATTACGCACAATTCTCACCCATTTCTTATGTTTATCAAGTAGTTTTTTATTTTTTTATAAAATTCTTAGTCTTTGTGTTTTACTAAAATACCATGTTTGACTAATCATTTTGGGTGACGTTTTGATAGCTGCCAAAAATATACAATATATTACACAAAACCTAACAAAATCCAGGGTTACAGAACTCCAAACTCAAACCAAGACGAAACACAATATACCAACAACAAGGGGAGAGTACAGGTTTTAAATCATAGACTGGAAATATCTGTAGTCACAACTTTCTCCCCCATCGAAACTAATCTGCCTCCACTTTTGCCTTCTGTGGCCGCGGGAAAATGTGAAAAAACCCATTTGCGCGTGTGTTGTCTGTATGAGCACAATTAAATTAACGAGTACATTTAATAGTCCATAGCAGCTAAACGAGACTGGTCCCAAAAAAAAAACTCCCCACAGCATTGTTCACATCTGGAACATAGCATTGGTCCAAGAGCCATCTTTTGGCCAATCCTGTAAAGCCGTTTTCGAGAGGAAAGAAGACGCCATACAAAGGCATTGGGTAATTCTCTTTCTGGGTACACCCCCTCCAGCTAGGCGTGAGATTGCAAGCATGTCAGCGCACATGCTCATGGACATTTTGGAGCCGGGACCTAACCCCACTGGTTTAAATACACACAGGGACCCACAGGGGAAGCACACAGGACAGGCAATCAACTGAACAGACCTGAAGCAACACTGAAAAGAACAAAAATCGAAATAATACCACGCAAAAGTCATCAAAAAGTCCACACCAATGACATGCTGCTGTTCCCTAAAGTACAACATTACTAGATGGGTTTCCAAGTCTGACTTTGCATTTGTAATCATATTTTTACTTTTCTCAGCTGCCAGCCTCTGTACCAAAGAAAATGGTGCGTCAGCGAAGTGGCATTGTGCGAGAGAAGTCCCTGGACCTGCCCGACCGACACCGGCAAGAGGCCCGGCGGAGGCTCATGGCGGCGAAGAGAGCGGCCTCCTTTAGACAGAACTCTGCTTCAGAACGGGCGGACAGCATCGAAATCTATATCCCCGAGGCTCAGACAAGACTTTGAGAAGACTCCAAGCAACTTTGAACTGTTCAAAAACACATCTCACAACTTTGAAACTAGCCTTTTTTCTAGACAGCTTCTCCTCTTTCAAACTTCCTTGCACCATTATTCCGTCTAAGTATAGCCATCCTCAGCGCCCATCGCCAAACGCCATCGGTCAGTAGGATGTGCCAAACCTGTTGTCCCATTGCAAACATGTGAGCTGTTTTCTTTGACGTGGATGGGTTGGTTGTACTAATGGCTGGTGATCCTTCTACCCAGCTGTTGCGTTCGCGTGTAGACATTTTTCAGCGTTTGAAAAGTGCCATTCAAAAGTGCAGCTTTCAAAACCTACCAGCAACCAGGTCTTTTGAGATGAAAATTAAATTAAAATGTATTGATTTTGAGCTTTGTAAATCTTCCTCTATCTTTGAGCCATTTTAGTTGATGATTTTTTGTTGTTGTTGCTTTTAACAATTTGACAGTAGATTTTCAATGTGCCAATGCTGAAAATACCTCAACTTTGATGAAGCATGGGGCAATCAATTCAGGCAACCCCCTCAGAAGCTCTGGACTGGTCAGTGTTGGGAAAAATGCAGCTTTCAAGTCAGTCCTTTCATATTTCCCGACGGTGGAGCTCATAAACATGCACATAGCAACAGCAAACATTGGTGCTTGAAAAATCGGTGCTACAGGTGTATATTTATATACAAATCAAGGGCAATCTTAAAATCAGATTATATTAAAAGTATTTATATGCACAAAATGTCTGTTAGTTGGTTTCAATCAGTGGGTGACAATCAAATGTGGCATTGCATTATTTATTGAAGTGGCATCTGGCAGCATCGCAGAGATTGGAGACATCATAGCTCTCTCAACGCAATTTGGTTCCTGAAAACCAAAAAGTAGGCCTTTTTGCACTGAAAATAGTTTAATGCAAGGGTATTTCTCCTAAGGGCCTAATTTTTGAAGGCCAGATAATTGCGCAACACGTCACTTTAAACAGAATTTGCGGTCACAGCAAAGACACAAAACACAATAATTCAGAAACTGTTTGATTACATCTGCCATATGTTTGTGAAAGAAAAGGCTCAAGTTTTTATTTTTCATACACATAGGGAAACTCAAAGTGCTTTACAAAACCTTAAAATCATAAAACAAGTGAAAGCATATATAATCACAGTACATTCATTCATTTTCAAATACAATCTTTCTGATGTATGCACAGATGAAAGGGATCATTTCTTACATGGATTCGAACATTAACTACCAACCAGTGATTCACAAAGACACAAAGGAGATTCAAAGCACCCAGAGGAAAGACATTTCACAAAAGTGTATTGTACAGACTGGCTAACCTACAGACAAGCTACTTTTCATCCGCAGTCCCTGAGCAGAGGCAAAGTTACAGCAAGTTTACAGTGTGCAATAAATGTATTCATAAAATAGCCTAAATAGAAGAAGAATAATAGATTAATAGAAAAATGTGGTTATATCCTTAAACGCAAATCAAAACAATAGACACTTTGGGCTGGATTTAAACTGTCCCAGTGAGCTCCACTCCCTCACAGAGGTGGGGAGTTCCAGGTCCCTGCTGATTTGACAGAGACGAGGAGGCCCTGAATGTGAACCTGAGAATGTTTTCAACGTTTTTCCATATGGTGAGCTTGGATCAGGGCCCGGGGGAAGCATCAGCCAACAGCTTTGACTTGTCTGTCTTGGTCTTGAACGCAAAGCCAAGATCTCTGTAGTTTGTTTAAGAATCGTTTCAGTATCCGTCTGTCTAAAGTTCTATTGTGCTTTTGATCCAGTTATCTCCAGAACTTGCCCACTTCTTATCTCCCATGCTGCCAAAGGCTACATGCTTCATTATGGTTTGAGAAAAGACTTTCAAGCACCACTGTATGCTTTATTTATTTCCAAATATTGACATTTACTTGAAGCCACAAACATTCAAATGGTGTGCCAACATTTTCATTGTCAATGCAGTAGTTATTATCGTTTTATTATGTAACTCTTCAAAATGTGTAACCAATGCACTTATGCACTTATTCCCATTCTCTGCGAGGGAAATGTATAGTTCACAATGATATTAAAAAATGTTGTTTTTCTGAATTGTAAGCAGGAAAAAAAACATTTGATTTATTTTGCTTTCAACAAATTTTCCCAAATCTTTTTTTTAAATTTCATGTTAAGAAATATTAACTCAGGCTCATTCCAAGTAGCATAGAATTATAGAAAAATATATTTCTTCTGGATATAGTTTTGAAAAAATTTCCCCATGAAGGTCCTTTTTCTTTCCATCTATACAATTGTTTGTTGTCACAGCAGTCGTAGAAGCATAGAAGATAAAAAAAACTATAGCAGATGAGAGCAGCTCGATGAATTTAAACTAGATCTATATTATTTAATCTCATACTTACATATTAGAAATAGTGAATCTGTTTCTTTCGGTCTCAGAGCAAGTTTCAAAAGTCATTCGGACCAAGTTTTCAGACATTTTTTTAATCCATTATCAATGTGTAGTCAATCCATCAAATATATAATTGTATTTTAAAGTGGTGTATATTTTGTGTACAAAGCAACATGCTACAAAATGAACAGAAACACAGTGTTTGAAAAGGGTATGTTAGAAGCAGACACTTTTTTGGCTGAAATAACGCAACAAACGGCCTTAAACTCTCGGACCTTACACCTCTCTCCCACTCCTCTCTCTGAGCTGCAGGCATCACTCTCGTTCCTGCATTAAAACAACCACTTTTAACAAGTTTTTTCTATTAGGTTACAGCACGATCTCAACATAGTTCTACATTCAGGCTAAAATACGTTTTTGTTCCCTCTTAAAGAATAAATAGTACATATTACTTTTGAGTTTGTCATATCATGGTTTTCAAATATTAAATGATAAATCCAAAGTCTGTTAGTAAGTAAGTAAGTCATCTTTATTTAGTACCACCAGAGAGAGGAGTTGATTTTAGTGTAAATTCAAACATTTACACCTATAAACCTAAACTTGACATTGTCGATCGTCATCTCACCGGAGAAATTGCCATAATTTATGAGTATTACTTCAGTCACAAGTCTCGATGTGAAAACCTGGTCCTAATGACAGCTTTTGAAACTTTCTATCTGATGGATCGTGAGGGATTACGTCACATTGTCTCTAAAAAGAAAATTCTGATTACATCACAAAGCACCTTTTTATTCTTCTTCATTATACAGTAGCTCAGAGAGGACAAACAAAATCAGATGTTTAAATACTATCAGTGTTTATAACTGTAGTCGTGTTGTAGCAGTATGTCAGCAGATATATTTTTGTAGATTATGACTATTCTATTCCAAGATTCAAGGGCTTTTTGGCTCAATGAATAGGGGCGTCGACACCTGAACTAGAAGTTTCTTGCTTTCTGAGACATATTCTGAAATATACTTAAAAAGGGAAATTAGGAGAGATAGATTATTTATGTAATATTTATATAGAGATTGTAGAGACTATTTATTGTCAATAAATGAACATTACAAACACGGCAAACTAAACTCATTTACATTTGTGATTAAAAAAAGAGAACAATAAATGTAGCAAAGATTTTCAAATTCTACTTCAAATATCATAAAGGCTGTTGCTGACAGATACACACATAGAACAATATTTGGAATATGTGTATACGCGCATATAACTGTATAGGAGTCTGTATCATACTTGGCATTCATTGATACTGTATCGTTATAGGCAAAGGTGTGGAGGACGCTGCTGGAGAGATTCTGTGTAGCATTACTCTTGCATGTAGCCAAAGTCAAAGGCACAAATACACTGAGTTGTGCCATATTTTATTTCCATACAGATCATCTCACACACACTTTAGCTGTGGCGCTGGTGTCAGGCTGTCGGACACGCACTCTGTCTGGCATTCGCTAACCCCAAACTGCTTTCATTCTTGTGTATAGCTCCAAGGCTGTGGATCACTATTCCACAGTTTGACTCAGCAAAGCAGCTTATGTAAGACTTGGAGTCCTTCGTAAGATCAAGCAGGCATCCTCAAAGGCCTTTCAAATGCTTTTTATTAAATGGATATATACAAAACGGCCCCATAGCACCAAGTTTTATTTAAATGAGACGAGACAGACATCTTCCTTCCTTATGCAAACACGATCAGGGCTGAGCGTTTTGAATAATTCAGGAAATCAGTGCCAAAATCTGAGAGTTTTAGTTTTATTCATTTAGCTCATAGTTCAGAATGTTGTGAAGTGAGTTGTGACAAATGAGGTTGAAAAATTATCATCTAAAGTATTTCCAGCTTTTTTTGACTACTGTATGTGTCATTTCTGTTACCCTCTTGTACATACAATTCCACTGCATATTTGTTGGTTTGATAAGATTGATCTTGCTTTTTTGTTTCTGTTATATGGATGATAAGTGTGTTACTGTGAGCGCTGTGAGATTTAATGACTAATTGGTAGTTTTCACTTTCAACCTTCTGAAAACCTAAGGGCAAAAATCAGCAGGAAGGCATCAATGACCTACAAGTGCCATCTCTTTGACTTCACCACTCGGACACGTTTCATTAAATACTATTCACTAAATGTTTTACAGCTCGTCTGTGCCATTTGCCTGAACAGTCTCATCCTCATTCTTCATATCCCACTTTTGTGGCCTCACTTTTGGTATGTCTCATGATGAGCATCACTCAAACCCAAGATGTGAAATATTTAAGGGGACCTTTTTGAACCATGTTTTAGTGTAACTGAGACTGATTCAACACTTCCTGAACGTGGAATGTGTTCAGCTCTTAAATTACTACATCAATGAAAAAGGTTTAGATTAGCTAAGAAAAAAATCCATCTCTTGTATCTATAGTAAGGATGAATATAATGCCAAATATTCATTATTTGTAAAGAAATATATAATATAGATATATAAATATATAATACAATGCTCAATTAAAACATTAAAATATTTTCGGCTCTTGCTCATGTTTTGTCATTTTTAATTGTTGACTGATTTTATAAATTGATATGCCAGCATGCGAAATAATGTTTCTGAATGTAGGCTTAGTTACCATTAATATTTGTTTAATTCTTGATCACTAATGTTGCAATTTGTATGCTTAATTTAACCACACAAACAATTACTCTAATTCAGTTATGTAGACTGTCTTTGCATATGCAAGTCACATGCTTTCTAGAATCAACAAAGTTGCTGTTTTAACTTGGTTTATCACATAGACTGCACATAAGGAACATCATTCTAGTTGAGATTATTCAATGTAAATAAAATTGCAATTAAATTATTTTACAAAAGCTTTGGAGGGAAAGCCTTTTTGTGTGTGGTGTCTATCTTTTGTTCCAGACAAACAACAGTGACGAAGTCGCCCTCTGCTGGCCAGAGAATAAATAGCACAAACACAAAGAGTATAACCACATAACCAACATACGTAGACAACTCCCTGTGTGGTCGTATGGTTTAATCTGTGGTATTAATATTGTATTTCCTTTGCCAGATAATAATTATTCGAGATGTTGTAGAAGTAACGTTTTAGTATGAATCCACGGGCGGGGCGCAAAGAAACTCACTGACCAATAGGATTGTGAGAAATTAGGAGTCCGTATGACTTCCGGTTTGCTTGTCACATGACCAAAATGAAAGTCGTGTGATTTGAGTCTCGAACAGAACATCATGTGAAACTACAGCGCGGTTATGTCTTTGTGGTGAGTCACTCGATTCTTCTTTAAAACCATTTTCTTTTTAACACAAATGTCTAAGTTTTGAGCTGTTTTATGACTCGGCTTGTCCTACTTGTTCGGCACAACTAGCTTCAGCATAACTGCACATAAACAAACAACTTGCTGACAAGACAAGTTCTGTTCTGGCGACACAGACATGAAGCAACGGAAATAACTTGATGGCGTAGCAGTAGTCTGTAAAATATACATTTGAACCACCTCTGTTTGATTAACTAGACATGTTTTAACAAGCTTTATGTGTATTCCCCCAGAACCACTGACTATATCATGGACCCAGGGGCAGCCCAGCCGAGCAGCCCACCGGGGGCAGACCAGGTCCCCCATCACCTCAGTGTTGAATACTTCTCTTGGGAGTACCGTGTCCGTCTCGTCACTGCGGGCTTTGGGGTTTACACTGCAGTCTTCCTCCTCAGTCATGTCCTCTCCATGGCACTGTCCCACACCTATAACTCTCTGCTGGCCAAGGAGAAGGTGTTTTGGAACCTGGCTGTGACACGGGGCATGTTCGGTCTGCAGAGTGTTGTAGCAGGACTGAGGACCCTGACGGAGGACTCCATGGTTTTCAGAGACCGAGTTCAGGGCCAAGAAGACTGGTCTTGGTTCCATTTGCTCACTGCCACTGGGTTTTTCATTTTTGAAAATGTGGCTCTCCACACTTCCAGTTTAGTATTCTGGTCTTTTGACATCTCACTGGCCGTACATCATTTCTTTGCCCTGGCAGGGTATTTAGCAGCATTGGTGTGGGATTCAACTGGACACTTCCTACCGATGGTGACGCTGCTGATGGAGATGAGCACCCCGTTTACCTGTATTTCATGGCTGCTACTCAAGGTGAATTATCTCTTTTTCTGCAGTTAGAAAGTCTATAATGCAAGTGTTAAATCCACATACTTTATACAGGACAGAGGCTTTAGCATCTACTTGTTTCAAATCCTGTATGTGCAGGTTTAATAGAAAGAGGAAGTTATTTTACAGCAAATGCCTGAAATGCATTTCTCAGTAACTTTCAAATTGGAGAAGAACTCTTTGCTCTCACATGATTCAGATTCAGATCATCTATTTATAGTTTATTTGGTTTGAACAGTACATGTTAATGAACACATCACTCACTCAGATTGTAGCCATGGGCTAATTTGCATCCGTTGTCCCACATATGCACTCACAAACACATGATTGGAAACATTTCTGAACTCTGAACATTGTAAAGCGCTTTGGGTGACCTTGGTCTGTAAAACCGTGCTATATAAATAAACCTTGCTTACTTACTCATTCTCTCTGAACTATTGCACATGTTTTTAGTGGTAGGGGAAACCGGAGTACCCGGACGACAATTTGCAGTAGAACCACATTGGAATGACTGTAGATGATGCTGTCGATGTAACTGTAGAACAGGGGTCTCCTACATGTAGCTCAGGAGCCGCCAGTAGCTCGCCATGCCCTCTCAGGTAGCTCACCAAATATAATAAACTTAATATTTCAGATTGTATTATTCCTCATCATTATTGTAAATAGTCTGACTTTGTCACTACTAATAAATATACAATGGTAAATAATGAATGTACCCAATACCAAGCTTGTTCACACCAATATATCAGCCATTTTATCCCAGGGCGTTTAAACGAGTAGCTCTCTGCCTTTATCGTCCACTCCCCGGAAAGTAGCTCTCTGGGTGAAAGAGGTTGGAGACGCCTGCAGTAGAATGATCGATGTGAAGTTGTCATTTCTGGATTCTGATCAGTCCTTGCTGTGTTTTACAGGCCGGATATGCTCGCACCTTGTTCTGGAAGGCCAACCAGTGGGTGATGATCCACATGTTCCACTGCCGCATGGTTCTCAGTTACTACATGTGGTACTTCAGCGCGACTCACTGGAGCGACCTCAATACCCACGTGTCCCTGCCCCAGCGGCTGATCTTCTTCCCTGGTTTAGTCCTGCTCACGTTTGTGCTGAATCCTATCTGGACTCACAAGAAAACCATGCAGCTCCTGAACCCCGTCGACTGGAACTTTGGCAATAAAACTGTGCCTCTAAACGGCCCCAAGGGTAAACCTCACTCAAACTAAGCCCCGGTCACTCTTGGTACAGTCGAAGTGCACTCGAGTACACATTGACATCAACTTCATAAATATCGTTGCATTTACTCCTGAGGTAAACTCCTTACGTGAGACAATAAGTGTGAACAATAAATCTCACACACAGCCTTTTTAAATTTTTTACTAGTTCAATTTATCATTTTTATGGTTTCATAATCGTTCTCTTAAAGCTGCATTACCTCACTTTATTTTTGTATTCATTACAAAAATTCAATCCATTCCATGCAATGCATTGAGATATACGTCCTTTTGAAGAAAAAGTGGCGCAGATTTGTGCTGGCGTGACATTTCATTTTAGATCAAGTTTTGGTGAAACAAGGAAGAGAATGTGTTTCGGGTCCAGATTGTGACCAATCACAGCGAACCACTGGCCCCCACTTTCTTGAGAAAAGCTACAGGTCTCTCGTTAGCACAGACCGCTAAGGTAAACAAGCGGCGGAGGCTAAGCTGAAACTTCCCGTGTCTTCGTTACTGCTTACACAGAAAAACAGCCAAAAGAAAGTCTCGTCCTCTCTGCGCTTCCCGGTTCAATCATTCTGTGGTCATGCCATCCACGTGCAAATATGAGGTCCATATTGTGAGACTTTAGCTCCGTAAACAATTAGCTTGTGAGCATAGGCTGAGGGGGAGGGGGTAGTGGGGGGCCAATGTTCCGTGGGTGCGTGGAGAGCGAGCCCAGCGTTCACATTCGAACATTTCTCAAAGTCAGTTAGTGCAGCTTTAATAGATCCTTTGTTACTGAGCACGGAGATTGCACTTACTGTACCTTTAATCCTGCTTTGTTAAATTTTGAGCAAAATGTATTATTTTTGCTTTTGTTGTGTAATAGGCACAGCCAAACTTTTTACACCAATTATTTCTATTATAGCTGTTTAATGATATTTATTATCAGAAACTCTTTAAAATGCAACCCATTGTGCATAAAGGGACCGTATGTAAAGTAAAATAAAAGTAATAGGTCAACATGTACAAATCATATGTGGCAAATTTTGGCCTTTTCTGAGTTGAGTTTATATTAATTAAAAATACATCAGACATGATAGCCACAATATTTGTTTACCATTTTCATGCAGATTAGAGCAGGCTGAGTCTCACATCAGGGTTGCCAGTTTGTTGCGTGAAATAGCACCTCACAATTGTTTAAATCAAAGCAGATAAAAAAGCAGGATTTTGAATTAGATGCTCTTTCATAAAAAAAATGATTGAACTTAACAGTGTTCTTTGTATGCTTTGATTTGTTTTTTTTTAAATGTATAACGTTTGAATTGGCTCTGTTTTAAAACCTGCAGAACGTCATAGAATACCAAGTTTATAACCCAAGTGTATGATGATTACATGAATATGAAATACATGTTTATGGATTGATTCAAAAGTTACGACAAAAAAGTTAAATGTTTGTCTCATTATGAGGTTGCTTTGTGATTGGCACAGTGAAATGATCAGCAGCTTTATATTTCCTCTTGATTTTTCCACCGTGTCAGGTGTATATTTGATCATTTTCACTATAATGACTAGTTTAAGACAAGGCAAGTTTATTTGTAAAGCACTGTTCATGCACAAGGAAACAAAACAAGTATACTGATATCTTACTATTGTTTTTGGTAAATGAGCACTGTTGTCTCCATATTTTTTGACAATTAAGAACAAAACATCTCTTTTAACCGGGGAAAATGATCCTCAAACGTTGCCTTCAAACAGTCTAAAACACATGAATAGTAATCATCTTATCGTTTTGTTTGTTGTAATCTAATTGTATGTGACCTTTTACGTCTCGCACATGTCCGGAAGTCAGGAACCACTCACTGAGTTAACATTATTTAAGCTTGTTTGCTTTGATTTATCAGCAGTAACGATCTATGTGAATTCCATTTAGTATTAGCAATGTACCAAGCAATGTACAATTAAAAATGTACCAGATTGGGGGGAAAAAAGGTCCTTTTTGTCATCTGTGTGTTAAAATAATTATGGTGTGACACTTGTGTGCACTAAATGCCTTGATATTTGAGTTTATAAGTGTTGTATTATGTAATGTATGAATGTATGTAAACTTATCCAGCAGAAAATTGTCTTTGTTCAGCAGCGGTTATGTGAAAGCGGTTTAATACTTTAATACTGATGAACTGCACCATCGTGACGCTCAATATCAAAGTGTAAAATCTAAAATAAATTGTATAAATGAATATTCCTTTTGTCAATGGGTGTATACATGTTTCACGTCACTCTGATCAAACGGCATGAGGCAAGAGTGACGTCTCTCTCAGCCAATAGGAGGCCTCCCCAGCTGAGCTCTTGTCCAATCAGCTGTCAGGGAGAGGGCAAACGCGTCGCATGGATGAGCTCCGCTGGCGCTGGAAAAGTCCTGTACTGAAACCTCAAGGAAAGTTCATCTGATGGTTCCTTTCTGTGGGACGTGTTCAGTGTCAAACCTCGGCGTCGATGTGTAAGCGACAGATGAAGGAAAAGTAAGTGAAAACAGCCTTTCCCCTGCTTTAGCTGGTAGGAGATGAGATTCTTCAAAGTTCTGCTCTGGATCAATGCGAAAAAGAACTGACTTTTTCCTTGTTTTTACAGGAAACTTTATGTGTTTTTGTGGTTTTGAATACTCTGCTTTATTAATGCCAACTTGGAATTGCATTTATAAACATGCCATAGATTTGAGATGGCTTATAACGTGGCGTTTAGTGAGTTAACTCTATAGGTCCCACTAGTGTCAACCTGCAGGAGGCAAATACTACTGTACTAGGAAACCTTTGTGCTGGGCTTGCTATTATAATTCTATGACTTAATTGGGCCCTAAAAGGAAAAAAGTATTGCACTGTATTGTATTGTATTATGTCTGATCTTTTTTCTCTCTTTTCCCATCTGATGGCCATAACTTGTTGCCCTTACATGCCTTTGAAGATGCTCCATGAGCTGTTGTAGCAGTCCAAATTCAAGTAGTCATGCATAACATTCCACAGTGAAAGGATCTGTAGAGCTTCGGTCAAGTGGAACATTTGGATGGTCTTGTAAAGGAAAAATCCCATAAAAAAAAAAGCCTGTTTAGGTATTCATCCTTTTTGTTGTTGGGGCGTTTAATGCATCCTTCTGCCCAAAGTGAAGGGAGGAATCAGGGGTCTCACACTCCTGCTGGTACACAAATCCTTTCCTAGTTATTTGTTAAGCAAATAGCTGAACTGGCCTCACTTCTGCAAAGACTCATCCACTCAACTATCTTGAATACAGCTACAAGCACAATAGAATCTAATTGTAAACGTTCTTATTATATTATTACAGGAAGAGCATTCTAGAGAAACGAGCATATCAGTCTTGTCTAAACTTTGTCAGGACATTTCAAGCTCAACTTTTGAACATTCCAAATCCTGAAGGGTCAGAACATGGAATAGTGCCAGTCGTTTTTCTCGGTGGCCAGCCGCTTACCCACTAAACATCCACTGAGATCATACTCGGATTGTTGACATACTTGAGCACCAGCTGTGAGAGTCAACAAGCCTGCAGAGTTCTCCTAATGCCTGTGTGAAATTACATATTTATATTTCTAGCCAAAATTGTTTGTCTGGGGTTAGCTCTCGTTTCCTATGACTTTATTTATTGCTTATTTTTTGGCTTTGGATACAGCAGTTGGAGTCTTGGACAAGACCGTAGATTTAGAGAACATTCACGAGAGTTTGTTTGGGATTTTGTCTCAACAACAATACTGTTTGATTGACAACAATTGATTTGTTACAGATTTTACCTGTGGGGCCTTGTTTTTTAAACCAAAAATATGAACCAGTTTAAACATAACTGATGTGACATTTCAAAATGTAATGTATGTTGTGCAAATGTTGCTCTTGTTCTTGATGTCTTTCACCTTATGAAAAAATGGTCTCTTCTTTAGGGTGGGAAATAGTTTATTTAATCAAATTTGAACAGTTCTGTGCATACATTTTTCTATTGACTTTGGGGAAGTTCTTTATTGGCATGAGCGTTAACTTAAAACTTTTTAGGGGCATTCAACTACATGTATATGTTATGTATTAGCATGCATTGGGTGTTGTACAGAAACCAGTGGAAGATAATTCATTTCAAGAGGATAACTTTGTTGCTCCTTAACAAAATCCATGTAACAAGTTCTGGCTTTCAAAACTAATGTCACATATACATGTATTTTCAGCCTTTTCAGCGAAATAGAGCGGACCAGCCCTCACTCAGCCAGTTCTCAGTATGTAAAAACACACAGCATCATGTTGGAGTCGAATTTGGCACAAAAAAAAAGTTAGCAACAGCAGGAAACAATGGAGATGAAAACACACACACATTAAAACATAAAAAGTGACACAGTGGCTCTTTGTAATGCATTGTATTTCTTCTCATTGACTGATTACGACGCACTTGTTACTGCACCCAACTCCTCATTCATATTCATTATCCTGTTTCATCCTGTCCTAGACTTTGTAAAGCCTTTCTTATGGCAGGTCTTAAAGCAGTAGCGCTGTACACAAACTACAACCAGAAGAAGAAAGGCATTTGCGTCGCTCAGCCTCACACTCTCCTCCCTTCCTCGCCACCCTCTCCCGCAGGCTTTTGTTTATGACTTTTGAGGAATGCCACTTGCTTGTCATTATGCATGCTCCGCAGCGCTGTGCTGAGAAATCAAAACCACAGCAATAAACCATGCTGCAGGAGGTGTAATATGTTTTAGGGAGGGAATACATATTATTTATATATCGACCTGCAGTAAAGCGTATAATAAGAACAGGCGTAAGCTAATTGCAGCATTAGTACAGAGCTGTAGTGAGTGTTTGGTGTGAGCTGGGAACACCGCAAGCTTGACGTGTGATGACATGCTCGGCTGTGTCTGTCATCTACTCTGGGATCGCTGCCGTTTGGTGTCTTCAGCTTTGAACTTTGTGATTAGACATTTCAGTTTCCTAAAATGAGTAATTATTTATGGTCTGCATTGCATCATTAACAGTATATTGAAAGCAAAGCTGGGGTACCTAACTTTGAAACCACAACAATGGAATGATTTTAATGTAGTGCAAAAAGTGATGAAAGCCGAATTTGGCTAAATTAAAAAATGCTTCCATTGCAATGAGAAAATAAAACTGCAGTTGTTGGAATAAGACCAAATGGCTTTGTCCCATTGGCAGATCTTGTTTTAAGACAGTCAGAATGCGCTGAAATTAAGATAAAACCCACTAGATTCAAGCGATTATAACCTCATACTTTATATATCTTGTTTTTGAAGTGCATGTAAATAGTTCCTGGCTTTTTAAAAAGTGTGGCTCTATCACTAGTTTTCACTCTGCATGTACAGTATTTTTGGTCTCTGTCACATCCATGGAATCACTTGATTCAGACTCTCAGCCCAAAGCGTCATACTGACGCAGAGCTCTTTCAAACTAAAGGGATAGGTTTTCTGATACAATATATATGATTCATGCCAAAAAGTTAGGTAGACAAGCTATACACCGAGACAAATTATTTAGTCAGCCGCCTATTGTGCAAGCTTTCCCACTTAAAGACATCATTGTAGTCTCATACCTCAACTATAAAAGAGGAGAAACAAAAATCAAGTAGACTTAGCATTCTTTCCCTCCAAACATGACTTAAAAAAACAGTTTTCTCTTCACACCTGAACATTTGACTGCTCTTCTTCCCTCCCTTCCTCTACCCATTGTTCTGTTGCTCTTCTGGGAAATTATTCATGTCTAACTGAAAATAAAGTGTATTTTTGTGTCACATGGCTTTGGTCTGAGTCTACAAAGTTCGCAATCCCTTCTTTCGCCTTCAGATGTCCCGTTAGACAGGAGTAGGATGGAGCTGTCTTTGTCTGGCCTTGAATTCCACCCCATTGTTGTGATCCGTGTCCTCAGGCGATGTGCTACCTGCTCCTGTCAGCTGACACACTGGGCCTGTGTGTGGAGCCCTGGTGTGGCTCTTTGCCCTCGGCTGGGTGTGGGACAGCGGGGCAGACGCTCTCACTGTGTGTTTGCAGACAAAACAATCCCTGGATCTCCTGTGTTATCTATTTTACTGCATTTGTATTTAAGTCAGACGTTAAGCTCTGTTGTGGTTCAAGAGGAAACGATAAATATAAAAGCCAGAGTACCAAACGTCAAGAACTATACAACAAATAAACTAACCACTAGTTCCTTGCTCTGAAACAGTTGTTTTCTGTCACTAGTTTCTCCTACGGGGATCAATAAAGTATCTGTCTAGTTTTCACATTAATGTATTTTTTGCCTCTGTCACTTTTAGATCAGTTTTTTTCAGGGTATGAAAAATATAACATATTTTTTTATAACATAAAGGCAGCTTATGGTCTGATTTGTTCACAACCTTTTACTTCATTAACTTTCTTTTGGGACAAAAAAATGTATTCTTTATGAAAATTAAAAGTTACTCCAGCTTTAACTATAGAGAGCTTATGGCCTCCAACAAAGACTGCTTTATGTAGTTGCATGATGTCATGGTGCTGACACGCAGAGGAAGAGTGAGGATGAAGGGTAATAAGCAGAACTTTTTTTGCTTAAAGTCTTTGACAGAAACTGTCACTTCTTTGTATAAATGTTAGATCAGTAAACAAATGCAGTGAGGAATGCAACCTCTTCTGCCACTACAGGTCGAGGCTCTCCTGTCTATCCTGTCTCAGCATGTTAATGCCTCTTTTTGACTCACTACTGAGTCCTACTTTTGATTCTACTGTGGAAAAGAATGATTGACCTCAACATTCTGAAAGTGTCATTACTCGATATATGAATATATTTTAATGTTTTCATAATAGAGTACTTCTATTGCATGGAACAGCTATATTCAACAGCTGTGGTTATGTTGCTGCTGTTATTGAGAGATGACAGATGGAAATGTTTTTGATTATGGTAATTATGGGTGTTCTTTTATGCACTGTCACTGTCAAATAAATTAATAAATAATACATTTGTGAGTGAGAGCATTGGAGGAAGCTCCCTGACTGTACCCATTTCCCAAGGTGCACTGCATGTGGAATGTTTTCATTTACAGCTAATGTAAACCTGTCGTTGTCTCATATTTTTATTGTGCCACTTGGTGACATTTCCTCTCCCTCCTTCAGGAATGCGGATCTGCATACTTGAACTGCTTCATGCAACTCTTTGAGGAGCCGGTGCCAGAGAAGAGTCAGCATGGACGTGGAAGACTTCCCTCCCCCTCCTCCTGAAAGTAACAACATTCAACTTTTGTAAACATTTATGCACTTTGGTACTTCTCATCCCTTTAGTACTTCTATTTACGATATTTTTGCCAGATTGCGTCTCTCGTGGGGTTCCTGTGTCCCTGTGGCCGGTTAGCTCAGTTGGTTAGAGCGTGGTGCTAATAACGCCAAGGTCGCGGGTTCGATCCCCGTACTGGCCACTGAACTTGTTTTTGCTAACTTTAATTACGTTCATGCTTTGGGAAAATCTCAGCAAAAGATTCATTTTATTTGCAATTTGCAGTAAAACCACATTGGAATAACTGTGCAAGACTTCTTTAGTGTACATTTTGTACTTGTTAAAGTACTGTGACATTTACCCATGCAACACAATAAATAGATTTAATTTCTAGAATAAAAAGATAATTATTGCCACAGTGGAGAAATGTTGATGTTGCGGCACATATACAGGACAGGAGAAATAAGGAGCACACAAAACAAGATAATTGCTGTAATTGCTTCTTTACCTGAAGTGTTTTCTATGAACTAGTTACAAGAACACCATGGTGAGAATGAGTGGCCCTAAAGCTGGGCTACTGAACTTTCAAATCACCAAAAATGGAATTATGTAATCCAACTTAGTCCTGGCTCTCAAGACATTTTAGTTCTATAACTAGTTTTCACATGCATGTTTTTTGGTGTCTGCCACATATTTAGATACAATTTTGACAGAAAAGCAAGCATTGACTCCTGGGACTTGTTCTCATGCAGTATGCAAAATGAATGTTTCTAAAAAATATTTATAATAACTTGAAGACCGCATGTTGTGGTCTGAGACGGTATCATTCTGTTGGGACAAACAACATGTATTATCAATGAAAAAGTTAGGCGCCCCAACTTTAAGATTATTTGTTTTTTTTTTTTTTTTTTTTTTCTTTGTCGGCGCCCATGCATTCTACTGAGACTGTCCTGCCAGAAACAAACAACGCAGATTGCTCTTCCCTCCGCTGCTGGAGGAGTGCGTGGGCAGCGGAGCAGGGGAATGAACAGGGCAAATTGTGCTGTGCTGCTGTGAATTCCAGACAATGTGCCTTTAGAAGCGCACAGAATCGTGCACACACACACTTGGAGAGAGTGGAGATGGACACAGGCAGGAGAAATGCCCCGTCCCCATCTGCCCAGCTGCTGCCTTTGTGGACTGGCCGATGGAGAGCGTGACCTGTGACTCATGTCTGTGCTGTGTATGTCAGGCTGGATATAGGCCTGAGAAATAGACCACACATTGTTGATTTCATATGACAAAGGCCGTGTTATCTTAAATTTCACTCCTAATGAGAAAAACATTGCTTTTTCACTCCAGGATTCCTTACTGTTCCTTACTCGGCGACACGTTCCTTTGAATCCACCTCGCGACCTCGCCTGTATGTTTTTGTTCAGTCAGGTGAAGAAGGTCTGCAACTACAACAAAAGTCAAACGAGGGACAATGCTTTGCATAATGACAGCGTTAGAACATAAGAATATAATCAGAGTGACTGCATGGAACTGAAATACCGTGATAGCATTTATCTGTCCACTAACCAGTGCATGCGTGCCTTGAAGTCCGCGGACCGGCTTCGTTCAGGTTAATTGTGACAGCTGCTGTGGCCAGATTAAAACCTGGGTACCTAACTTTATTTTTGCTCTCATGAATATATTTTGTTTGTTTCGTCAGTAAGAGTCTTGTAAAAAAAAAAAACCATCATGTTGTGAACAAATCAGACCACAACATGCTGTCTTTATCTTATTAGAAATCCTGTTAAAATGTATTAAATTCAATGTGTTTTTTATATTGCCCTGAATCAAAACAGTAGGTTTACTAAATTGTCAATTTGCCAGAACAATTCGAACGCAGGAAATGCAAAAACACATAGGAGCCATCGGTCCATAGGGCGAATGACCAATGTGAATAATAATGGCATTTCACAGACTGAGAGCAGATTGAGAGTAGTCCGATTCTTTACACTTTTCTGTCTGAAAAATTGGACAGTCCAAAAATACATGCTTATTGAAAACTAGTGATAGATCCAAGGGCATTAAGACAGATTTATTACAATGTTTTGAAGATTTTTACCCTAACCCTGCTATTTATACTGTGAAGAGTTCTTAAAAAGTGAAACAGAGACGACCAATCAGCTCTAGTGACACCCGGGCTCTTTCTTACAAGTACGCAGAATATAACACACTTTAATATCTCTGTGGCCTTATTTGTTCACCAATCGTCACAAAACGGGACAAACATGTATTATTATGAATTTTAAAAAGTTAGGTATTTATTTGTATAGTACATTTATTTGTATAGTGCAATTCATACACAAGGCAACTGAAAGTGCTGAACAAAATAAGAAAGCATTAAGATCATAAATAATCACAGTACATTAAAAAGAAAGATAAAAATATAAAATCTCTCAGTTGTATGCACAGCTAAACAGAACTGTTTTTAACCTGGTTTTAAACATTGTCAGAGAGGAGGCCTGTCTCACACTTTCAGGAAGATTGTTCTAGATTTTTGCAGCATGAATCTGAAATGTAGCCTCCCCATGTTTAATTCTGACTCTGGGCACCAGCAGGAGTCCAGTCCCTGTGCTCCTCAGAGTCCGGGCTGGTTCATATGGGACTAACATGCCGATTCTAAACAGTATATACATGTAAAAATCCTTTTCACGAACCGTAAACCTCTTGTGAACTGAACAGCATTTGGACACATGTCAGTCCGTGTACAGCCATGTTTAGTTGGAGCCAAAGAGCAGCTCTGCATCCTCACGTCTGGTTTTGTGTGAGCGAACATCTGCCAACTTGCACTTTGAGGTCAGTGTTGTACAGCGTCCCCTATAATTAAGCCGCTGCAGGCATTTGGGCCACATATTCACCAGCGAGAAGTTCTTTTCTCAGTAGCTCAATCATAAATCCACCCTTAGCTGTTGTCAAATACAGCTTAAAACTATGCAAGTCAATGAGTAAACTAAACCCCTTTTCTTTCACCTCCAACGGTTTAGGTGTGACTTATCTTTGTGAGTCACGGTTTTATGTGGAAGAACAAAGGAAGGATCTGGCTTGAAACTCCCACTCTGACCCTTCTGGGGATGGCTCTCTACATTTGACACAGGTCATTTGTGTCCTGGTAGCAAAAAAAAGTAATTTTGCAAAGTTTAAAACAACATCAAAGGAATAAAACGGGCAAACTAGTAAGAATGCCAATGCTGCAAAATGACATTGTTCAAGTGGAAGAAATGTGTAGACTCTGTCTCAAGTACGAGTAAAGTAATTGTAATGTTTTCAGCGACGTCTAGTAATACGACTTCAAGACATTGCAATGTCTTGAAGATAATCAAAATGTATGAAAAATTCTGACCAAGCATGATATTAACCCTTTCATGTTTTCTTCAACCATTTGGTAGATCACCTTTTGAGTCAATATCTCTACTTTAAGCTTTAAGCTCTTTGGGGGAGTTTTACCATCAAGCTGCATCTCAATCATTTGGTAAAGGTCTATAATAATAAAATAGGGTGCTCCTACATCTTAGAAAATCCAAAAAAGAAAAAAATGCTATCGCTTTCTTCTTCAAGGAGTGAATATTAAAGGGTTAACTTGTACGACGTTTGTTATGGGCTGCTGAAGAAATTGAGCAAAGATGCGGAGGTCTGGGATCGTGTCTCACCAGAAGACATGTTTTATTGTTAGTGCACAGCAAAAATGGCTCAACCAGAGTTTTACAGCATTCTCATGGTTTTATACCAAAACACAATTACAATAGCTCCGCTCAGCATCTGTTATTGCAAGTATTGTTCGACCTTCAGAACACCATAATATCAAGTGGAAAAATACTGACTTCTGCATCTGTTGTAATGATAAACTCTGCCCAAAAAGTCTTTTAAAAGCTCCATACAAGCATTGGGGTTCTTAGTTAAGGATCATTTTGGTAATCGATTACTTGGCATATTATTCTTTCACCTAATCGATTTAGTTGTTTTAGATCCTGAAAGGTCAGTGAATATGAGATTTTTTGTACATTTGACCAAAACAAAGCTCGAGTGATGCCCCTTTAAAACATAATAGAGATTATTTTATTTTTATTTTGTTTCTCTCTTTATTATATTTTTATTTTCTTCCATGTCTCTGTGTAAATGAGGGGATTATATTTAAAAATGCAACAAAAAACATTGTAGAAAATAGAATATATAAAAAAGATTCAGAGATTCAGATAAAAAAAGAGATACAAATATTCAAAAATAAAACAAAATGAGATTACTTGTTACACATAGGGTTTTTTAATTATGATAACTTGTTATACATCATTTTAAAGGCAATTAGTGAAGAGAACCATATCATTCATTTAATTATTGAGACTGAACCCATAATGCAATCAAAAATACCAATTGCACTGTCAGTCTATTTTCTTGCCTTTGGTGCAGTTTTAGTTCAGTCTACAAGGCAAAAACCAGCCCATTAGAAAATCATATTCATCTCTGGAGAAGCCTTTTCTTTCACTTGTGCCATGTTAGTATTTGTAAGCAGAGATCAGTAAACTAATCCTAATTGTTTACAAAGAGCTGATTTAGGGAATTTTACAAGTAAATAACAAATTACAGATTAAATAAAAGTTATTCCAGTCGGGTGTTTTTTCTTTTTGAAGCCTGGGGTGAGGGTCAAAATGCCGAAACCCGGGATCGAACCAGGGACCTTTAGATCTTCAGTCTAACGCTCTCCCAACTGAGCTATTTCGGCTGCAGGATGGGGGTGGGGCACTTGTGGCTTGAATAGCTCAGAGCGTAGTGGTCCGAATGACGTAAGCCTGTGTTTGCAAACTAACAAGCTGTTACTTTTAAAGCAATGGTCACAGAAAACTTGTTTTTAATGGTTTAAAGAGACCACAAGAAATAGGTAAAGCCACTCATTGTGTCATTCATTCTCAACACTTGGTTTTTCTGCCACTTTCAATAAATCAAAGATAATCAAGTGAGGGAATAAGGCTATATCCACACGAAGACAAAACGCTTATAATTTCAGAAACTTTTTCTGTAAACACGGAGTTAGCTCAGTAAATGTGTGCGTCCATATGAATGTAGTCAATACGCCTGAAAACGCTGTGAAACTATGCCAGACCTGTTGGTGGCGCTGTGACGCAATGACGGGATCAAGCCCAAACTTCCGTGGGCATGCGCGGAATTTTGTAAACAGACAACATGGCGAGTGGGCGAGCTGGTACAACATTAGTATGGACGGACGATGAGGTTGAACTGTTGCTTCGGTTCACACTGGATTACAAAACCAACAAGCTACATTGTTGTTGTCATTATTTTCTGAGTGCGGCGCATGCGTGCTTTAACAAGAGGCGGGGCGATGACGCAAGCGTCTCAGATACATTGCGGAGAGGCAGTAACCACGGAGCGGCATATACGGAGTTTTGAAATCTTTCCACTCTGGGACCTACTTTCAAAAATGTTCGTTTACACCCCCCCAAAACGCCGGCCTCGTATGGACGATACACTGGATTGATAAAGTATTTTTGCATTTAGGCCTGAGCTTGACTTCGTGTGGACAGGGCCTAACTCTACTTTTGTTAGACTTCTTTTGAAAGTGTAATGCCTTCAGATCTCCAATGTGTGGGGGTAGAAAGAAACAGAGCAGTCTCTTTCTTCTCTATGTGGTTATAAAAATAAGAAGTATGGTTGAGTTCAGCCCACCCCAAATTACAAGTCTGAATCAACTTAACATAACAGAACGAAACACAGGATCCCACCCAGTGAGTTTTGTACAGATACAAATGGAATATTACTTAGAGTAGGTAAAAACCTGGCTATGAAATACATGAATGTTTATGAAATAACAGTGTTCAGTACTAAAACATGCAGCCCGCAACATTATTTTCCGTTACTACTATCAAAAGTGATGTAAGCAACTTAAATTGTATTTAGTTTTTAAAATAATGTATATTTCTGACCATGGGACATATTATGTACAGTAAACATTTTTCATCAATAATATAATTAGAATAGTCTCTCCCCTTGACATAGTTAACACCAGCAAGATTTGCAGGAGAACGGTTAGACCAATGAGAAGGGGCCTTCAGGATTAGAATTAATTTCGACCAATCAAGAGGCTACAGGGGTGATCGTAGGCGGGTCTACTCAAAGTTTCGCTCTCTTCACTATTTGAAAAGGAACTGAAATTGACTTAAACTTACAATTATTGGTATGAGGTTAATATGCTCTAGTTCAACAAGTAATCAAAACACTTATATATGAAAATTACCCAGTTTTGGTTCAATCCAGAGTTCATTTTGTGCATCTACCAGAATAAAAAAAAAAGTATACATGTAATCCTTTAAAATTTAGAAAAATACTTCCATAATATAAATACAAATATATACAGTGTATATGAGTATTTTTATTAAAAAATAACCAGAAATGTGGGATGAGATGAGCTATGAACAAACGTTCCTCTACAAAAGCCTTTAGTAAAAAAAAAACCTTTTGACCCTGACCCCAAATGAGCTAAACTATAACCCAAATTCTAACAAATTCTTGACATCTGCCGGCAGTTAAAAGAAAGATAAAGGAATTATGTATGTTTACACAATCATCACTGGAGAACAGTGGCCTCCGCTAGAATATATCTGTAGAGCTTTACCTCTTTTAAGTCTTTAAGAAGAGCCTCAAAGAATTTACAAATAATATATTACTAAATAATCATATTTGACACCTGACATTATCAAGTGTTTATTATATATTACATAAAGAAATGCAATTATATATCAAAAATGGTTATAAATTAAACTTGTCACTGCTGTATGCACTCAATTAAAAAAAAAAACAATTATGATCTTCACCCTTTTTTTCTGCAGAAATGTAAGAACATTGTTGGGAGATAGTAAAACTTCCACACATAAATAATGTATACATATAGGAGCATTGTAGATCAAATGAATGTATCTTCCTCATCTTTGTGAATGCATCATCTTAATCCTTTCAAACATTCTGTCCGTAGTGTTGGTGGACAATGACTCATGTGAAGAGGAGGGAGAGGCCTTTGAGTTTGACGACAGCGGGGATGACGTCCCGGAGGCTGACCGGTTCCCTCCTGCTCCTCCAGTTTTTATTGCCCCCAGTGCAGAGGATCACAGTGAGGAAGACCTGCCCCCACCTGTTGCCACGGGATCAGCCCCATCGCCTGAGGAGGCTCTCAGCAGCAGACCCTCTGTCCCGACAGAGCAAACAGAAGCAGATTTACCTCCACCACCTCCTCTCAGAGACACAGACCAAGAGGAGGAGATAAACAAGGGTTAGTTAATATGTTTGAAGGTGCATTTCACATCTGTGCTGATGTGATCAGTTGTTTTTACTTTGCTTGGTTGGAATGTAAAGAGAGGGGCGGAGCTGTCAACCGATCATCACCTGGTCGTGAGTTGGATCCGCTGGCAGGGGAAGAAGCCGGTCAGACCTGGCAGACCCAAGCGTATAGTGAGGGTCTGCTGGGAACGTCTCGCTGAGCCCCCTGTCAGACGGACTTTCAACTCACACCTCCGGGAGAGTTTCTCCCAGGTCCCGGTGGAGGAGGGGGACATGGAGTCCGAGTGGACCATGTTCTCTGCCTCAATCGCTGATGCGGCGGCCCGTAGCTGTGGTCGCAAGGTCTCTGGTGCTGGTCCCGGCGGCAACCCCCGAACCCGGTGGTGGACACCGGCAGTAAGGGAAGCTGTCAGGCTGAAGAAGGAGTCCTATCGAGCCATGAAGGTTCGGGGGACTCCTGAGGCAGCTGTCCAGTACCGGCAGGCCAAGCGTGCCGCGGCCCGGGCTGTTGCAGAGGCAAAAACCCGGGACTGGGAGGAGTTCGGAGAGTCCATGGAGCATGACTATCGGTCGGCCTCAAAGAAATTCTGGCAAACCGTCCGGCGCCTCAGGAGGGGGAAGCAGTTCTTTGCCAACACCATGTACGGTGCGGGTGGAGAGCTGCTGACCTCAACGGGGGATATTGTCGGGCGGTGGAAGGAATACTTTGAGGTTCTCCTCAATCCCCCCGTCACGTCCTCTGTCTCAGAGGCAGAGGCTGAGGATGCTGGGGCGGATACATCCATCTCCCTGGCTGAGGTCACCAAGGTGGTTGGTAGCCTCCATGGTGGCAAGGCTCCGGGTGTGGATGAGATCCGCCCTGATTATCTAAAGTCTCTGGATGTTGTAGGACTGTCTTGGCTGACACGTCTCTGCAACATCGCGTGGCGATCGGGGGCGGTGCCAATGGAGTGGCAGACCGGGGTGGTGGTCCCTCTCTATAAGAAGGGGGACCGGAGGGTGTGTTCCAATTATCGTGGGATCACACTCCTCAGCCTCCCCGGTAAGGTCTACTCCAAGGTACTGGAGAGGAGGCTACGGCCGATGGTCGAATCTCGGATCCAGGAGGAGCAGTGTGGTTTTCGTCCCGGTCGCGGAACACTGGACCAGCTCTATACTCTCCATCGGATACTCGAGGGTTCATGGGAGTTCGCCCAACCTGTCCACATGTGCTTTGTGGATTTGGAGAAGGCGTTCGACTGTGTTCCCCGGGGTGTCCTTTGGGGGGTTCTCCGGGAGTACGGGGTCGGGGGTCCTCTGCTGAGGGCCATCCGGTCCCTGTATGACCGGAGCCAGAGCTGTGTTCGCATTGCCGGCAGTAAGTCAGACCTGTTCCCGGTGAATGTTGGCCTCCGACAGGGCTGCCCTTTGTCACCGGTTCTGTTCACTGTATTTATGGACAGAATATCTAGGCGCAGCCAGGGGTCGGAGGGGGTCCGGTTCGGGGACCACAGGATTTCATCTCTGCTGTTTGCGGACGATGTTGTCCTGTTGGCTCCAACGAACCAGGACCTGCAGCATTCACTGGGACGGTTTGCAGCCGAGTGTGAAGCGGCTGGGATGAGAATCAGCACCTCCAAATCTGAGGCCATGGTGCTCGACCGGAAAAAGGTGCCCTGCCCTCTTCAGGTGGGTGGAGAGGTCCTTCCTCAAGTGGAGGAGTTCAAGTATCTCGGGGTCTTGTTCACGAGTGAGGGAAGAATGGAGCGTGAGATTGACAGGCGGATCGGTGCAGCGTGCGCAGTGATGCGGTCGCTGTATCGGACCGTTGTGGTAAAGAGGGAGCTGAGCCGAAAGGCAAAGCTCTCGATTTACCGGTCAATCTTCGTTCCCTCCCTCACCTATGGTCATGAGCTTTGGGTAATGACCGAAAGAACGAGATCGCGGATACAAGCGGTCGAAATGAGCTTCCTCCGCAGAGTGGCTGGGCGCTCCCTTAGAGATAGGGTGAGGAGCTCAGTCACACGGGAGGAGCTCGGAGTAGAGCCGCTGCTTCTCCACGTCGAGAGGAACCAGTTGAGGTGGCTCGGGCATCTGTTCCGGATGCCTCCTGGACGCCTCCCTGGGGAGGTGTTCCGGGCACGTCCCACCGGGAGGAGGCCCCGCGGAAGACCTAGGACACGCTGGAGGGACTATGTCTCTCAGCTGGCCTGGGAACGCCTTGGGGTCCCCCCGGACGAGCTGGAGGAAGTGTGTGTGGATAGGGAAGTCTGGGCGTCTCTGCTTAGACTGCTGCCCCCGCGACCCGGCAACGGATAAAGCGGAAGAAAATGGATGGATGGATGGATGGTTGGAATGTCTCTCAGTGAGATAACAAACCTTTATATTAAGAATGTGAAATCTTACAGTGTTCTGCAGGTCTGCCTCCCACCAGATATGAGCTGTAATGTATCCACAGTGGATACATTACCAGGCTAAGTTTATCCCTTATCACTATGTAATAATCTCTATTATGACATAATAATATTAATATAATAATATAACTTTTATTGCGTGCTGCACCTTAAATTATTCCAAGCGATGGAAAACAGATCACATAATGCATAATACTTAAAGTGCTTGTCATGTGGGTGCCAGAACAGCCCTGGACTACACTGAGGGAAGAGAGGATACTTTTCTGTTCCATCACCCCCTCTGACCACCACCAATCATTCACATACACACCAGACTCATATTGGGCAATGAAGGTGTCACGCGTAAGGGCACAGCAACAAGTTGGCACCACCCCACTGTGGCACCTTGTGTTCCCAGAGGTCTGCCATCACTAACCAGGCCCTGCCCAAGATCAGGTTTTCACATGCATGTGGCACCATATCTGAGAGAGATTCCATTGTATGAAAATAACTTTATCACCGTTACTCTAAGTACATCTTCAACTCTCTCAAGATAATTTTCTTATCATTGTTTTATATGCAGTCACTGAAATCTCTACTCCACCACAAGAAGATGTCTTGCCTCCGACAGCCCCCTCCCAGGGAAAAGTGAATCCTTACTCTGTGATCGACATCACTCCTCTCAACCTGCAGCAGCTGGAGCAGACGTCGCCCACGGAGCCTCACGGGGCCCAGGACGGTGTCAGCCTCCCCAGTCCTGTCGGCATCACTTCAGGCTACTCTGTGCCAGTGCCCTGTGGCTATGCAACACCCTCCAGTGTGCCTCTTATCACTCCAGCTTACACCACTCCTGTTATCATCCGACACCTCTCCGTGGATGAGGAAGGTACCATAAAGCACACAATGGCAGTAGATACTTTGGACTTTTAAAGCTGGGGTACTTCACATTTTGTTTCATATAAAGAAAGAGATACTTATTAAAGTATAATGTTGTGAACAAATCAGACTACAGCATGCTGTCTTTATCTTGTTAGAAAACATTTTATCTTGTGCATACATGTATGAAAGAGTCCTGTGAGTCACTATTCAGGCTGAGATGAGATTTTCTGAAAAAGCTCCGATGCTATGATCCAATGACGGGGAAAAAACACATTTGAAAACTAGTTGTAGAACCAATCCATCCAACCTATCATTGATAGATTTTTATTACATTTGCCTGTCCATTTCCCCCTAAGTACCCCAGCTTTAATGCATTAATGCACATCATCCTTTCTAAATATTAATACTGTTGACTATTGCAAACTTGTAAGAAACAACCCTGTAACAATGTGGTCTTTATTTGGCGTTTTCTGCATGAAAAGTGATTTTAAGAAAATCTCAAAAATGCTTTCGTTATTAAAAGTGATCTACCAATAAGTTAGTGAGAGCAAAGAACTACTTTGACAGTTAAAACTATGAAGTTCCACTTGTTGCTGGTGTAGAACTGATACCACAGTGTTTTGAAAATCAAATTTGTTTATACAAAGCTATCAAAGAGACCTGAGTCTAGTCCATTTCTCCTGTCTGACTTTCCTTGGCCCTTCCCACAAGGAAGTAAAAACTAAAATTAGACTTCCCAAAGGTCTGTTGGCTGTGATCTTTTTCCGGTTTCTCTAAATTCTTGCTCCATGCTTTTTAGTTGTGCGGTGGAATCTGAGCCCTCTGTTATTATCTTACCAGGGGCCAAGGTCACACCAAAAGACACCATTAAAACTGAATCTATTTTGAGATTTAAAAGCATAGTTGTGAGCGGCTTCTGCCAGATCCCCACTTTTTTATGCACAGGACGTTTCATTTGTTTAGTAATGTTGTACACATTATAAAAGCGTCAGTGTGTGCGACATCTAGTGGTCTGAACTAATATTGCTTTTCTCCTCGCAGTCACAGTCGTTGGCACTGGAAGCACTTTTGTTGACAGGTATCTGCACATAAAAACATTTTTGTGTATGTATTACTACTTTCAAATCCCTCATTAACCTCTTTTCCCACACAAACTTAATTTCTAGTGTTTTTAGTGAAGAGGATCCCCCCATTAGAGAAGAAGATGTTTTGGCAAAATGGGTTTCAGATCCAGCCAACACCGAATGGATGGAAAGTGAGTGATGTTACATTAAACCTAAAGCTTTAACATTATACATAAATAATTATTTTGTTGTCAAAGCGACATTTTGTGAACAAATCAGACCACAGAATGCTGTCTTTATCCTATTAGAAAACATTTAGCTAATTCTGTGACAGTGGCTAAAAATGCACATACATGTAAAACTAGTAATAGAACTGCTTTCATGAATTGCATTTTTGACTCGAATTGCTGCTTGTTCACACAAATGTATTCCCAGACATTTCCTTCCCTGTATTTTGAGGAAGTAGACCCAGGTCTTGATGCTTCTTGTGAAACTTTGCCTTTTACTTTTGGTTATCGTTAGTTTTGCTTTTCAGATCCCGATGAGGTGATATACGATGATGTTCCCAGGGAAAGTTCTGACACAGGTTTGTACATTTCATATTTGATAACAAACGTCTGTGTGCTATTTATATGAAGAAAGGTGAAAACTACAACAACATGATCTTTTTGTTACATGCGCAGAGAATGAAGAGATGATTTATGATGATGTGGAGCTCGGTGAGGAAGGCGGTGGCAGCAGTCTGGACAACGGCTGGAGCTCCAGTGAGTTTGAGAGCTACGATGAGGCCAGTGATGGAGAAGGACACCAAGACAACGGTGTCCTCCAGGCCTTTATGAGAGGGAGGCCGTCCCAAAGGAAGACACAAGTATGTACCAGAGACACTTTGCAGCATACTGTAAAGAATATGAAATCATTTGCGGTGGTTTGGTCAGATTGTAGAGGACTCCATTTAAAAAGAAATATTCAACAGGTTTTCTTACTTTAAACTATGCCGGCAACACTATGCATCTCCAGTTATTACTCTTAACTTGCTGCATTGATCATAATTATGGCTGCCATGGCATGTTGCACATTTTAAAGCCAATATTCTTAAGAAAACAACCATATAATCAACTTTATAAAAAAAAAAACCTTTACTTTATGTCCAGTTTTGTTTCAGTCAAAACACAACTGAACTGATTTGTTCAGAAAATATTTACCATAAATGTATAGTGCACCTATAATTTATAATCCATTATGCCATTTTGTGGAAGTTCAGACAGGAACAAAGTGTTCCATGGAAACAAACAATGTTCACAATTAGGACACGTTTATTCTTGTTACAGTGCCATGAAAACATTAAAAACAAAAAAAAAGCCATGCATTATATATGTCTACGCTTCCATTCTAAAAGATTCGTACTGATTTATGGAGAAATAATATACAATATGCTTGTAATTGATTCATTTAACTATTTTCCCCATTATTATCTCTTTTGTTGCCAATTTTATCAGAAATCTGACACAAAACAGACAAAGATGTCGCCCTGAAACTTTAGTACCACTACTATCAATAATAGAAATAAATACAAAAAAATTATGTTAGAAAAATATAAGCAAACGTTTGTGGGAAGCTTGGTCCGCTCATGTAGCAATTCTCGACGCCTATGGATTGATGAAATATGAGACCCATTGGTGAACATAGTGATTTCATTTGTGGGATAAATACACAGTTTAATTAATGCAACTCTCCAAAAATAAATTTTACTCTGAAAGTCTCACTCACCCCATTCTGTAAGTGTGTAATACATTGTACTCTATTTGCCTCTGTTCAGCTCTCTCAAGATCTTACACGCTTGAAAGAACACTATGAGAAAAAGATGAAAGGTCTTATGGCTAATACAGTGGGGACTGTAGAGCTGCAGCAACTTAAACAGAAACATGAGCAGAAGGTAATCCGCTGTGGCCCGTCTAACGTCCCTGCTCTAGTCCAAACCGCTATAGCTAACTGGGACTTCGTTGTGGGCTGCATCCTGCTCTGATGTCATTCTCTCCTCTGTAGGTGGTGGTGGTGACGGGGTTAATGGGGTTTTCATATCACCTATCTCTGTGTGTGTCTGCAATGACGGTCTCCCATGTATTCTTTGTGGTCAGAGGTGGCAAGTAACTAAAGTATTTTCAAGTAAAGGAGACATATTATGCAAAATGGACTGTTAACCATGTTACAATATTTCTCGATCCTTAAAAACAGACTTGGAGTTGGTTCTAGATCAATCTACACTAATGTCAGGAAGTTCTGGCATAAACATACAACTCCTTCCTTTCTGCCTAAAAGCTCCTTTCTCAGTCCTGTAATCGTGTGATGTCATTGTACCACCAAGACACACACTCGCAGCAGTGTGTGTTTGCCTTTTAACACAAAAGCAGTGACTATAAATTAGTTCCTAAGGTAAAGAAACAACAACAAAAAATCAACTCTACCCTCTAGTGGTAGCATAGAGAGTTACAGACACTATGCTTTTCTCACCCTTCATACATGTTTACTCATGTATCTTTTATATAAGATATTATTTCATATTAAAAAGTTTCACTGTCATTTTACACATTGTATTTCTTCTTAAAGGGACTATGTGGAAGTTTTACCACATATACCACAAATATAAAATATAAAAAAAATTCCACATACATTCTCCAGCAATGCTCTGGTGCGTAAATGAGCCCTGGCCTTTTCTCCGCAATTGCCTCTATATGTCTGAAATTTAATTTCCCGCTTAATTTCCAGGGGTAGCGTAATGTACTTCTGTTTTTCTTCTGACAACTTTTTACTTGTACTCTTTTGATCCCAAATGTCTGTACTTTTTACTTAGAGTTAAAAATAGGATAAGGCGTGCATAAAAATAACACATTTACATAACATTTATTATAATTAATGGTTTATACAAGTTCACTAAGTCAACCTAAAATTCTTAAAATGACTACTCTATACAAGTGCACAAAGTTCACACGATAGACATTTATTGACAAAACATGCTTCAAAGACCATGTTTACAGGTTTTATTGTTAGCTATGCTTCTAAGTACTGAAACAACTCTACTATATCTGTAACAGTTTATTAGACAAAGCTTTTATTTTTAACTAAACTAAATTACATTTTACTTTACATATAGTTTATACCTAATGTAACCTTCCCAGAGTATATTTATTATAAACGTATATTTACTTTTACTCAAGTACTTAAGACGAATACTGTCATTTTGTCACCTCTGATTGTGGTAAAGGGACTGTCATGTTGTGTCATCTCCAATATACAAGATCTGCTCGTCTCATCTAACAAACCATTTCCCATTTTAGCAGCTTCTATAACATTCACTAATACATGGGTATATCTCAGTGCTCCAGAGGAAACTGTTCTTTTTCTTTCTAGTCACAATGTATGTGTTTGCTTTAGATGCAGAAGTTGGTGAAAGCAGCAAAAGAAGGAACCAAAGATGGACTTGAGAAAACCAAAGCTGCTGTTAAAAAGGGGCGTTCATATATCAAAACAAAGTCCTTCTGTAACGGTAAGAATATAGCTGCTGTTTATTTGCCGTCTTCACAATCTTTGAGTTTATTTCATTTGTTTAATATTTATTGTCCCAGAGAGAAAGTCGGACTGTTTTGAAGATGAAGCAGAGGTTTTTATAGAGGTGGACTGCTTTAATGTGGAACCAGTGTTGTGTCCGCCACCAGAGGGCCTTTCCCAACAGCAGGTAATACCATGGACATAAGGAGTAGGCTAAACTAGTGCTGAGGTCAGAAGAATCCGATTTTAACATAGGCTAGCTCGAGCCATTTTCTGTGTATGGGCATTTTTTCCGACAGGGTTAGCCTGGTCTCACCACACCATCGTACTAAATTCATTTCGTACTTAGATCTGGCCGTGATCTAAGGCTGTTTGCCGTGACATATGTAATGCGCCTGAGTGAGTGAGGCATTTAGCATTTAGCCTAGCTTTAGTTCTCCTTTGCCAGCAATGAAATTTGCTAAACATTCCTCCTGCTCTGGCTTCAATTCCCTGATATTTGGAGCAGAACCAGGATGGATTACTTTATCATTGCATTCGCCACCATTGCCAAACTACAACCAACAAAGTTTGGCGTTTGGTTTCTACTAGAGCTAGAGGAGTTTACGTACTTTTCATTGTCAGGTCAATAGAAGCCAGTTGGAGCAAAACTTTGTCCATGAGCACTTCTGTATGGGGCTTCATTGAGCTAGGGCGCTAGCATTTCAAATCTATATCTTGTACAGTCTATGGGTAATACACATACATTTGATTGAGCTGATAGCATTAGACTGTGAAAGACTGTGTTTTTCTTCCTAATAGCTTGTTAGGAGATGTATCCTGGGATCGATCTTGGAAAGTGAGAAAAACTACCTTGAAGCTTTAAAGAGGATATTAGAGGTTTGTGAGGTGTGGTTGCTCTTTCTTTTTGTCATCGTACTTTTGCAGCTGACTCTTATCTGCTTCATCAGAAATATGAGAAGCCCCTGACCCAGACTGAGCCCCGGCTGCTGAGTGAAAGGAAGCTGAAAATGATCTTTTACCGCGTGCGTGAGCTCCTGCAGTGCCACTTCTTGTTCCAGATCGCTCTGGCCAGCCGAGTGGCCGAGTGGGACAGCCTGGAGATGATTGGAGATGTTTTTGTAGCATCGGTGAGCAAAAGGAATCGCCTCACATCATCATCAGATTGTACTTAGTGTTAGAGAAACTTCAATAAAACATGTGTTTTCTTAACAGTTTTCTAAGTCCATGGTACTAGACGCCTACAGTGAATATGTGAACAATTTCAGCACCGCAATGGCTGTGGTGAGAAAGACTTGCACGGCCAAACCAGGTTTTCTAGAATTTCTTAAGGTTTGTGAACAGAACCTTGATACTTCAGATCGGATCCCATGTTCAAACAATCTTTGCTGAATTCATTTCACAATAATGATTGATTTTGTATCTTTTATCAGCATCGTCAGGAGACCAGTGTGGACAGAATGACTTTATATGGCCTTATGATGAAACCAATACAACGGTTTCCACAGTTCATATTACTGCTCCAGGTAAAAAATAATCCCCCTTAACGTTACATGTGTACTTAATTGTACACATTTCATTTGCTTGTTGAGGTTTGTATTTTTCTATTTTTTCTATTTTTTCATGATTTTTTTGCTGCGTTTAAAATTAGATTTTTACTGTAGTGTTGATTTTCACCAGCAGAGGGAGTGCCATACACACAAGCTACACAATGCACTAGGCTAGACAGTTAGAGAGCCTTCTTCCCACATGCATACACAATGATGGTATGTTCCAGTGGAACTTGGAATATTCTAGTATTTTGTTTAAAGTTCACTTGTTTCTATAATTAAAATCAAAATGTGAAACCAATGTATGGTATAGATGAACTTATTACATGCAAAGGGACGTATGCCAAGCCTTTGTTTTTTGTTATGTTTTGAAGATTATGACAGATTATTTGTGTGAGTATAGGCTTGATATATGTGTGTAATGAGTCTGTCTTATAATAGCTTCACATTGTAAGTGAAATTACAGAAGTAAATGGACCTTTGAACAATTTTCTGTCATCTGTAATTTCATTTTTGTAATCTCTCCATTTGATCATTTCATACTTACTACCTATTTCTCCAGGACATGTTGAAGAACACACCTGTGGGCCATGCAGACCGCCTGCCTCTGCAGATGGCACTGACAGAATTAGAGACGTTAGCAGACAAGCTGAACGAAAAGAAGCGAGAAGCGGATCAGCGCTGTGAAATACGTCACATTGCAAAAGCCATGAATGAACGTTATCTCAACAAGGTCCGCACAACACAAAAGAAACACACAACACAAACAAAACACACAACACTCCAGATTCTCTAACGACTGCCTTTGGATCGGCAGCTCCTGAGCAATGGCAGCCGATACCTCATTCGCTCGGACGACATGGTGGAGACTGTGTACAACGAGCGCGGGGAAATCATCAAAACCAAAGAACGGCGTCTGTTTCTGCTGAACGATGTGCTGATGTGTGCCACGCCCAATGTGCGGTAAGACTGCCCCCGTCGAACCAGGCCGCGCTGTAAATCTCCCCCTTTCCTTGTAGATTGCACTTCCCCTCGTCCTTTGACCTCGACGACAGGTTTACTGTTGACATAAATTCGTCTGGATATTTATTCAACGTCAGGTTCCCACAGTCAATGAAACTAGTGGATTCTTGAGATTTGCTAGTTTCATCTAAGTAAGTAAGTAATCTTTATTTACTTACTTAGATGAAACAATAATAACTTTCAGAAACCAGAGTCACAAAGCATTTTACAATTGTGGGCATTTGAGTCTCACTCCTCACAGAGATGGGAGCGGGGTTGAAGTACAGCAGGCATATGTCAGACCTATTCTACATGTTTTTAGTGGTACGGAAACCTACGCAGACACGGGAAGAACATGCAAACTCCAATCAGAAAGGCCCTGTTCCGACTGGGATTTTAACCCAGGGTCATCTTGCTGAGCAGCCAGAGCACTATCCACTCAACCACCGTGCCGCCCTAAAATGATCTTAAATCATCCTCCTATCTTTGACCTTAATCATGATGTTGAAAATATTTACTTTTGGCTTTTAAAGTTTTAGAATGTGAGTTTATTTATTTGCATACTAAGGGTTGAAATGGTAAACTCTGATATAATTGTAAGCATCAAACATGGCATTCTTATCTTATCTTATCTTAGTGAAGACATTCCAAAATTCTATTCAATTCAATTATTTCTTGTATATATTCTTGTAAGTCACCACAGTAGTTTTCTTGGAGGACTTTGCACAACCTTTACACAACAAAAAGGATGACATTGACATTGATGAGATATTCCAAAAACTAATTTATAGAGAAATAAAAATAAAATTGATCATTCTGAAAACATAATAATAGTAATAATCAGCAACAGCCCTTCAGGTCACACCAGCAGAGGTGGAGTAGCCTTTGGGTGGACTAAGACGGGTCACAGCAGTAGAGGTGGAGTAGCCTCTGGGTGGAGTAGGACGGGTCACAGCAGCAGAGGTGGTGTAGCCTCTGGGTGGAGCAGGACGGGTCACAGCAGCAGAGGTGGAGTAGCCTCTGGGTGGAGCAGGACGGGTCACAGCAGCAGAGGTGGATGTGTTGGTTCCATAGACAAATATTAACGGACGTAGTCACGCCTATCTCCGCCGTTCTAACTAATGTGCCACAACTTCCGCGGGCTATGTGCAGTTTCAAAATGGCCGTGGGGGCTGGAAAATGTAAAAAAAAACACGCATCTGTGCACGCGTCAGCCGGCACGAGCCCCATTCATTTAACGTGTGCCTTCAAAAATTCACAGCGACTAAACTAGACTGGTCCAAGAAAATTCTCTCCTCTCAGCATCGACACACTTTTTTTTCATTCAAGCTGTTTTTGTATTGTGCCATTTTCCAACAGAGCCAGTGTTTTTAGTCTATGCAGTAGCGTTCGATTCTCATTAGAGTGAAATTGGTAGGGTTTGTAAGGAGCTTGTTTGTTTCATATCCAAATTAGAATGTTGTTGTTGTTGCATACATTTAATATAATTACATCCATACAATCTTCAAACAGTTATGAACATGGAAGAGAACATATATACTGTTAGTGAAAGGAAATGCAAGAACAATGACTTTTTTTTTACTGTTCTATGGTTAATTATCCTGAATATTGGCTGAATTATGTTTTTTTTTTTTACTTCACAATTAAAACTACTTGAAGATTTTGGCTTATATCTGGATTTGGAGATGATGAAGAATACTAATACGGTCTCTTCTCCCACAGATGTCAGGATGGCAGTGGGAGCGTTACGGGGAACGTGTCACTCGACCAGAGGTTTTTGCTGAAGTGGAGCGTTCCTTTAAACCTGGTGGAAGTGTTGGAGTTTGGATCCAGTGAGGACATGGCTGAAAACAACCGTATCCATCCGCCTCATTCTGGGGAGAAGGTGGTCATCAACGCAAAGCCAAGTGAGAGACTGTTTTACACAACTGCCATGATATAATACAAACTTCAGTCACGAGGCATTTCCAGTCATAATGAAGTGTCACAGTGATACGACAGTTTTGTTACGGCAGTATCGCTAATGTCATTTTCATATCGTTCTCAACAAAGTCCACTCAAGCATTTCTAAGACAATAGTAGAGGGCATCAAAGATATAAAGTATCAAAGTAGGGCATCAGAGTATAAAGGTCTGGTGTAAAAACGACCAGCGAGAGCAAAAGCAATTTCCTTGTTTGTGATTTCTTGTTACTCACATGGCAATAATAATAAATAAATAAAAATCCAATTCTGACCGCATTGGTATTAGTTGAGCTGAAAGTGTTATCCTTCTTTCTGAAAGCCCAAAAGAAATCCTGAATTTGGATGCTATGTTTTTCATGAATCAATTCTGCTACTTTTGGTTTTTGAATTTACACATGAAAAAAATGCATATAATAACAAATATATATATAAATTGCTGTAACAGTTATTCACAACTAATCAAGATTTTGCAATGATCAATTCATCGTTAACTGCTCTAATTGCAGATTCCCAACACATTTTGAGTTAATCAGAGCATAATTACAAAACATGAATTAACATAAAGGTGTAAATGTCTCATTTTAATTATAAAATCTTGTGAAACTGTCAGACAAACCCCTTGAGTTTTGTCTGAAAATATAATGTATGAGAATGTCTCTAGATAAACGTCACATACTACTTGTTTGGTTGAAGGAATAATTGCTAGCTTTATCAATAATCAATATTTGGCATTCAACAAATATATAACAAAGCTCCACATAAAAGCTGTCAATAATACCTCTGTCTGGGTCAGCTACTGTTTGTTTGAAGCTGTGAATGTGTCTGAAGTCATGCCCTCACCTGTTGTTGTCTAAAAGCACAATGCTCTTAACAGCAGCCTCTTCAATGCTGCTGTGAGTCAGAGTCTGTGAAAAACATTTTTCCACTTTGTCACCAGTAATAATTGTGGATTGGTTGGGGCCAGTTCCAGTGGATTCAGTCTTTCCACAGAGCGCTCCACTGTCGCTAACAGCTGCTCAACCACTTTAAAGGAATAGATCAACACAAAGAGCAGTACGTTATTTAGTGGTCTGTTTTATTCCTGGAGCTCCGTTTGCTCAGAGGTAACGTGGCCTCTGTGTGACTCAAGTGGACAGTCCCCCCGTCCGTCCGAGGTCATATGTGTTTTAAGCTGAGGACAGAGGCTTAGTGCTCTGGTTGCCAATGGTAGTAAGCTGGAATTACTACCATTCACACAACACTTTGCACACTTTACTCGTCTCAATCCATTTTGGTTAATATCTCACTCGTGTTGTGTAAGTTAAACAGTTCATCTCCCAGCATTATTGTCATTGATTTTGGATGAATGTTTTATTGTATTTTGGATTGTAAAAGTAACCTATGGCGTCCATGCAATGCTGGAATTACGACATATATACTGAAATACTAACTCTGTCTAATGCTTCCCTGACCTATATGAGCCTTTTACAGCAGGAATAATGTTAGATCTACTTTGCTTTTGTAACATTATCAAACAAGTGAGCAATCTCTTGTACGGACTTTGTCGTTTTGAGATTTTTTGTGATTTGGTGATTGATTGACAATCAATGAGCTGAGGAACACATTAGTTATTGCCTGGGAAGCTTTCAAAACAAATCCAGTATGAGTAATAATAGTAAATGCACCAATTTGAATTAAAGCTGGAGTACAGACGAGACAGAAAAAACACAAGTATCGAAATAGTAGTAAGTAAGTACGATGTAATCTTATTTTCTATAGAGCATTTTACTGACTGATGTCACTCAAAGCGCTTGTGCCACTGAAGCCTCTGATCATGACCATCTCTTCACTCAATCTTTCACATACAGTTATTGCACATGTTTTTAGTGGTAAGGAAACCCGGACCATCCAGAGGTGGAGTCAAACCTGGAGCCTTCTGTGAAGCTAACTACACTGCATTTGTTACAATAAATATTACTTTAAGTATTGCTGAGTTAACCCATAAACGTTGTGATGTGATTGAGTGACTACCAGAATATATTCAACCTGAAAAATCCGAGTGTAAAATACGGTACTAGATAATAATGAAAATTTTTCCTGTGTGGCCTATTGTCTGGGAGATAGGCCTGGTTTATGGAGTTCATCATTTCAGTTATGGCCTGATTCACTTGTGTATTCAAAGCCATGCGTGAGATAAATGAGCCAGGAGAAGTCGTTCAGCTGTAGAGTAATTAATACAGTGTACTTATGATGGAACAACATAACATACAAGACCATCACAAAAGAATATCCGGTGTGTAATGTACTAGTTTTAGTGGTGAGGGTGGATTGTAAATTAAATGAATTGTTGTTTGCCTTGTGTCATATTGAGTTTTCTTGCTTGAGGATACAATTTTTGTTGAGACCTCCAACAAACGCATTCATTTCAATCTAAATGCCCAGTCTGCCAGGCCTCAGAGGAGGACAAAGCTGGGTTACCATGGAGCTGGAGCACCTGCCAATGGCCAATTCACTGACTATTGTAGAGGAAGAGGAGCAGAAACAAACAGGACACCGTTTATTTCTGACCTAAACTAACTACAACCTTTAAATGTCACTGAAATACTCTCAAAACTTACAGCTCATTTTGATGACGTTGTGAGAAATGTTTTTGTAAATATGGATATGTAATGTGCATCTTCCCAGACAAACTTTACATGGGCCCAGGACAGCTGTATCAGGATTTACAGAATCTAATCCATGATCTCAATCTGGTGAAACAAATATCCAGCATGATAAGCAGCCTCAAAGGGAACTACCAGGTAAATTATTATTAATTAAGTAATTATTGTAAAACTGAATATATTGTGAAACTGATTACATTACACTTCAGAAGACATAGATCACATACAGTCAATTTGTCTTTGGGAGGATCAGGGTCCTCTGGGCTAGATCCTGTCATGTGTGTCATTAAGTATAACTAACGTAGTTAAATTATTTGTATAATAAAAAACGGTACGTAAATGTATTGTTCTATTTGAGATATTTGTCACATTGCCCCTCATCACAAACAGTATATTAAGTAATCACAATAGTGCCTGTTTGTCACCTTGTCCCATGCAGAATGTTAACCCCACAGTGGCTCACGACTGGGTGTCCGGTCTGCAGAGACTCATCCTGAAGAAGGAAGAGGAGATTAGAGCAGCTGACCGCTGTAGGATCCAGCTCCAGCTGCCAGGAAAACAAGACAAGTTTGTGAAAACCATTCACCACCATTCACACACAAGATTATTATTTTGTGTTCACAGCTGTGTAGTAGAATAAAATATTTGGCCATTAAGCATTCTAAAGTACTCCAGCAGCTCTAATCTGTGGCATGAATCACAAGATGTGGACCAGTTTGTCTTAAGACCATTGCAGCTGTTGCTACACACATATTTGTCTCACATTAATGCTGTTATAGTCTGCACATGGTCACCCAAGGGTGCACCCTGACCTAAGTATTCCACTGTCTCTGCCACAAAGCCACATATTTGGTTTCTCCTCTCTTAATGTGATCCTTCATCTCTGCTGTATTTAAGAGACAGACAGATTATCTAAAGATATCTTTGGAATCACAGCTGTGCCCCTCATTCCTCCACTGATCCTTTACTCACAAACAGCACCTCTCCCTCAAGGGTAGGCTTGCCTGTCACATAACATTCTGTCAAAAAATGCAAACTGCAATTATGACTGTGCATATTTACCACTAAAATCAATTTGAATAATTACTCAATAATTACTATTTTAATATGTAAAAATTGTTTTTCTTTTTTTGATCTTAGGTCTGGTAAAGCCACTTACTTCAGTGCAGTCTTCAACACTCTGAGTCCGGCTATCAAACAGTCTTGGATCAGTAACTTGCAAATGGCAAAGTTGGCTCTAGGTACGTTCATTAAAGTTATCTCTTGTTGGCCTCTGGCTTTTTTTCCGGTGTTGACTGAATGAGAGATTGATGCACCTATAAACTTTTGTAACTTACATAATGAGCTGTCTTAATAGCTATTACTTGGCAATATACATACACATTTATGATGAAAAGCATGGATTAGAAACTGTTTATGCATAATATTTGTATCCCACAGAGGAAGACAACACACATGGATGGTTCTTCGCTGAGGATGATGGGAATCACATCAAAAAGCAGAAACACCCTCTTCTGCTCAAGCAAATGCCTGTTGTCATGGCCAAACTGCAGGAATTCAAAGTGGGTTTACAACACATACTGTGCTAGTGTTTAGACAAACTTGGAAGAGCATTTGTTATCTTCAGTAACTTAGAAAAGATTAGCCTCAATTTTTTACTCTCTTGTCCTTCTTCATCATCTGCTTCTTAAGTAAAATGTGAGTTTGTTTAGTGCATTATGTTTGCCTATATCGTATGGAATTTTACTAAGATCTTCTTTAAAGTTGAGCTCATTTAAATTCCACCAGTTATAATACAGACGTTATTCCTTGACATGTGTGGCAGGTGGAATGTGCTGTTCATAATCCAGAGCCCCACATCAATACAGAGAGCACTGCGGACACACCACTCCTGGGACATGGATGTGTTTGGGTGAGAATCTTGCGCATTATATTGAGGGAAAAAAATTCAACCTCTTTGATCGATAGATAGATACTTTATTGATCCCCGTAGGAGAATTTCAGGTGTCCAGTAGCAGCAAAAATAAAATTCATCATTCCAAAAAGCTAATAATAGTTTTAATCAGCCACAGGCCTTCAGGTCACAGAGACGGAGTAGCCTCTGGGTGGAGCAGGACAGGTCACCAGGTGGAGTAGCCATTTGGTTTGGACCATTTTCTCTGCTCTGGTCTGGACCAGTGTAAAACCATGAACACTGTACTGCAGCAACTTTCTTCAGCGATGTTGGTTTTTTTTGTTTTTTATTTTTAAGGTTGCAAGTTGCACAAATCAGATGGGACAGATAGCCATTGTCGCCATGCAGAACTCCAGTCCAAAAGTGACTGAGTGTTTCCATGTGGAGTCTCGGATCCTGTGCATGGCCTACGTCCCCGCAGAGGAGAACGGAGACGACACAACGCTAAGGAAAGCTGCTGAAAGTCCCACTGTGTGTTTTGGCATGGAGGAGGGCAGGTAAAAAAGTACTTGGATTAACACTGCAAAGTTGTTGGAATCATGAATGAAGATAAACGTGAAAATATACACACATTTTCTTTGAGACGACCCTGTAATTCTACATCTTGACATGTTATTTTGGCTTTAATCTTCCACAATATTGGATTAAACAACTCAGCAGACAATGTTCTATATGGCTACATTTTTTTCCATGGAATCATTCAGGTGATTTCTCATCCCTAGGAAGTTGCGTACTGTTGCTTCAAATAGGTTCATTTGATAATTAATTATACTAATAAGTCCCCTGAACACTATGAACATTAAATCCAGGAAAATTTTCTGATGAAATATGAAGAGTGTCGACATATTTTTCTCTAGCAGTACGTGATGTAACAATTGCAGACTAAAATGTTCTCTTTATGTTCTTATCTTTTCAGTATAATTGTGTACAAGAGCAGTCAGCGGTCAAAGAAAGTTCGTCTCCAGCATTTCTTCACCCCCGACAAATCCACTGTGACCAGCCTTGTGTACCAGAAGCACTGCCTCTATGTGGGGCTGGTGAGCGGTGCCGTGCTCGTCTACTCCAGATCAGCCGGTGTGTGTGCCTCTTCTGTCTTCTCCTGCAGACTGAAACATGTTAATGAGTAAATGGCTTAGGCTAAGTATATGTGACACAACCGTGTATTCATTTGGGAGGGATGGACAAAGTCAATATTTAGTCTGCTCTACAACACACTGCTTGTACTGTTGAGTCTGAATCCAGAGCCTGTGTATAAGTTCTACAACCTAAGCACTCAATTCTATTCAATGTATTTTTGTATAACCCTAGATCACAACAGCAATATCAAAAAACAATAATAACAAACACATACGAGCCATCGGGGGCAGTGACTAATGTCCATAAATGGCTGCATACTAAAGTGCTGTATTGCGCACATAAAGCTCTTTGTTCACACTTTTCAAAGGCTTCTAATATTAAAATCCCACTTTATACTTGATGTCAGACAGGCAGAGAAACAGCAGCATGTGGAGGAGATGTGTAAAGTAAAAGAAAAGTCCTCATTGAGCTTGCCTTGGTGTGTGGTGTCGTGGTTCTTTTGGCACACCCTGTGTGTGCGTCGTTGCTGCCAAAGCAGTATGCCATCATTCTAAGACCAATGTTTGGATAAAGGGAGATATTGGATTAAAAAAAAGTGAGTGCCGGATGAATGAAACAAGGGCAACAAAATCATAAAGATGCCCAAAAGACAAAATACTTCTTGTGTACAATACACAAAGAGAGGGGCAGACTGGCTTCGATCCTGGCTGTGTTTGCATTGATCATATATAGTATTTACACAAGCACAGCCATGGTTTGAATGGCAGAGGTTTCTCATTTTTAATTTTCAATCATATCCATATTTTCCATAACATTTCTACTACTACTTACTTACTTTTATGTTACTATATGTTCATATTATCTTCATGGTGGTAATAATTTGTGTGAATTGCTCCAGTTTGATGGCCCATCTGTGTGATTACGTCCAAGGTCCTTTCCCCTTTTGGCCTGTGTCTGCTCAGCCTCAGTGTGGGTAGGCCTTCTCTGCTGAGGGTTACTGAGGCACAGTGCACTTTGTCCTGGAGAAGCTAATCTGCTTGCGCTGACCTATTTAAGACTTTTTCTCCCGAGCACTGACACAAATGCGGAAAACGTATGACAGCACATTTTTTCTCAGCCTAACTCATTTTTCAGAGTTTTACTGCCAAAGACTAACCTGGACTTACAAAGGGTTTATTCATTCTTCCACTGCAATATTATGCTACATGATCACTAGTCATAGCTGTAGTTTTTCTTATTCCTCTGTCGCCGTACTTTATTGTTTTAAGGTGTAGACTTATGATTAGTACATACTCATCATTAGAACAGAGGAGAATATGTTAATTTATCTCAGGGTTTCCAAATCAGAATAGCTGTTACTCTATATATCAATTCTCCTTGCTCAATGGATTTTGCTATTAGAGATGGGAGGTCTTTGAAGCTTACCGTTGTCTTTGTGATAGAATTGCAATATTGAGTAAATTATTATTATTATCATTTCATTAAGGGTTTCCTGCTGTAACCTATATAAACTGCATTCCCGCAATGGAATACATTTGCAAAAAGCCCCCTGTGTGCTCCAGACAAGTCCATAACAAAATAGTTTAAAAGTACAGAAGTAAAAAAAAAAAATAAATAAAGTGCACAAAACAGATGTCACTGTGAAATCAATTAGGGATTGTTTTCAGTAAATTGTATGTGCATTTAAATACCTGAATCCCATCTGCATTCACTAGTACAGGAGAGAATGGAGATGGAGATTTTTTCAAGACTGAAGCATAGACTTCAACATGTTGAGGAGGGGTTTTATGACACAGATACATAGTAGTACGTATTTTTTATGAAACAACCCAATTTGAAGCAAGTCCTCTCTATAAAGTTCTGCTTCCAGGGACATCACTTGAGCTTTGTTTTGGTCAGATGTTTTAGAAATTCCATATTCAATTATCCTTCGACAACTAATCTGTTAATCTAAAGAGTAATCGGCTACATACGTTTCTGATACAATTGTTATTAAAACACCTTTACCTTTTGTGCATATTTTTATTATTATCCTTAGATTACTTAATGCTTTCTTCTTGAGACTAAATCAGACTACAGTGCAGCTTCAGTGCGCTAACGTGATTCTGGATGAGGCTCAAGAGACGACAGCGGCATCAGCAGTCAGCCTCATTCTGCCACGCTCGCTCCTTTGTATCGGCTTGTGTCACCGAGATTCAGCAAAGGGAACATTTTACAGGCTCTGCTTCAAAGTTCTTATGTTCTTTTAAAATCCTGCTGTTTTTCGGGACCATATTATAAATAAAATACAGTTTGTGTTTAAAGCCAACACATATAGCAGCAGGTTAGCATTCACGTTTCAAACTCAAACTCTTCTCTGTGTGATTACTCCTATAATACACACATGGCATTTCTGGAATTTTGGTCACACCTCAAGAGTTTTCAGAAGCGGATTACCTTTTAACTTCCGCTGTAATTACTCTACAAGAACATATTCTCTTCTCTTGAATAGCAGTCTTTGTGCCTTCTCCAAACAAACACTACCGGTGTGTGGTCACTCATACATGTTGGACTAGATTACCAAAGCATTGTGGTATCTGGAAGAAATTAACCTTGTGCAAAACGTTCATGAAATTATTATCTTACATTTGCTTTCTCTTGAGCGCTTACCTCCCGAATGTGCCGGGTTGGAGGGCACCTAGGTATTAAAAAGGCAGAGCTAGTGTTGTTTCTGTCCTTGGCACGGTGGGTGTGTGGGCACATGTTGATCAGTGTGTAGGAGGTGTAAGTGGGATAGAGCTCCACTGACTAATGCCTCCCGACACATCTATATTCACACTGATATATTTGGAAGCCTCAACACCCATTGAGTTTTACTGTTCAAGATGAAAAGATGTGGATTTAAAGTTGACATTACAATTTAAATGAAGATGAATGATGCATTACTTTTGAAATATACTTTGCAATTTTATGTTTCAGAATGAAATGTTTTCTTAAGTAGCATAAGCAGTATTAACTCCATCAGCAACCAATAGAGGGACGAATTGAATTGATTTTTTGTTTTGTTTTCAAAAGTTTCTAAGTGTAGATAACTTAGATTGTAGAGAATTGTACCTTTTTAGCAAATTACCAAATTAACAAAACCAAATTTACCAAAACAAATTTATGGGCAATACTTTTGTTTTAAAGGCTCCAAAGTAAACATGATTTCTTGTGGTACAATGACATAATAATATTAAAGGACTGAGACAGGAGTCTTTAGACAGAAGGAGTTACTGGTCTCTGTGTCAGAAGTTCCTCATACTAGCTCCATCCAAGCTCCACGTCTGTTTTAGATGTTGGACAATTATGAGTTGTAACTTGGTTTAAAACTAAATGATTATAATAATTATAAAGTTATAGGTCAACTATGTGCATGTTGCCTCAACATTTATGGACATTGGTCACCTGCACCTTATGGTCCAATGGCTCTATGTTCGGCGCCTCCTGTTCGGCGACCCCGCTCCATCTCTGTGTGGAGTGAGAGGACAAGTGCCCAAAAATAATAACAATTGTAAACCGCTTTGTGACTCTGGTCTGTGAAAGGCGGTATATAAATAAATAAAGATCACTTACTATGTGTTTTTTGTTTTATTATTGCATTTCTTGTGTTCGAACTGTTTGATTCTATAATCTGTGTTGGTAAATTCAGAGTTTTTTAGTCCTCCGAGATAACTACTGTTGTGATTTAAGGCTATCTACTGTAAATATACATTTAATTGAATAGTTTCTTAGGTATTTATTTGCCAATAAGTGTTTTGTTGTTGCTCTTTCTAGATGGTTTGTGGTGCTCTGACAGGCCTAATATGCTGAAGCTTGGCGTTCTACCAGTGAAGACAATGCTGGCAGTGGAGGAGCACCTATGGGCCTCTTCGGGTGTACAGGTTTTCATCATCAGCACCCAATCCCATACTGTGGAGGTATGGAACTCACCACGCTCGTTATTATTTTGGTTGGATAAAGATTATTTTGGTTGGATAAAGGAGGGTGATGAAATGTAATTGAGTATGATTTTAGAATGGAAACATATGGCCTATATTGGGGTATTCAGATTCTAATTGGTATTATTTGGATAAACCATCGTTAGTGTAGGAAATGGACACACCAAGAATAGTACTGGTTCTCTGACATGCACTCGTTCATAATCAGTATAAGCCCATTAAGACCATTATGTTGGACCACCTGCCTGCATCTCCTTCTCTGTAAGCACTGGACCAGTATTTTTTTTTTTTTACGTAAATTGTACGGAAAAAGTCGAAAGGATTCTTTACCGACTGCAACGAGGTCACCCATTTTTTCCTATGCCAGTAAATCCTGACTTAGTAAGAAGCACTTGACACGCTTTCAATTGGCCTCTCTGTTTCCAAAAATAAGTCCACCTCCACATGAAGCCCTGTGTGGTGAAATTATGTAACTCGCTGTGAAAGCCCAGTTTGTAGGCCTCCCAAGGAATGGAACATTTAATGAACATAAATCAGATATTGGAAATTCTAACATATACTATTATTGTTAGGCCTCAAAGTGTACAGTAGATAATATATTCAACCCATGGACACCAAATGGACAGACTTTTGAAGTTGACTGCTAAAGACATGAAACTAGTAAGTTTTAATGATAATATATGTAATATGTCCCACCTCCAGAAGCAGCTGGAGGCCCACCAGGACGAAGGCATGGTGGTGTCCCATATGGTGGTGGCAGGGGTGGGCATCTGGATTGCCTTTAGTTCTGGCTCCAGCCTCCGTCTTTTCCACACTGAGACCCTGGAGCACCTACAGGACATAAACATTGCTACGCCTGTACACAGCATACTGCCCGGTAAGAAGTCAAATATATTTACAATAATATTTATGAGTCACAGTTACAGTTATTGTGTTTATTAAAGATGCCTTAAGCAACTTTTTCAGATGTGGTTTACTGCCTGTTGCCATGGAGATGTTATTGCTTTGGAATGTCTCTCAGTCAGATATTTATCAATCAATCAATCAATCAATCTTTATTTATAGGGCGCTTTTCCTGCACAGGGCAACACAAAGCGCCTCACAGTCCACACCACACAATGCACAAATCATCACCATTAAAATACAATTAAAAACACATATGTAATTAAAAAGCATTAAAATCACATAAGTAATTTAAAAACATAAAAATCACACAAGTAATTAAAAACAATAAAATAGTTAAAAACACAAAAAGTTACAACAATAAATAACAAGGTGTGTTAAAAAGATAAAATTCTCTAGTTGTATGCACGGGAAAAAAGAAAAGTCTTTAACATGTCTTTAACGTCCCTGCGCTCCTCAGAGTCCGGGCTGGTTCATATGGGACTAGCATATCATGGATGTACTTTGGTGCAAGGCCATGGAGAGACTTGTACACCAGGAGAGCTGCTTTAAAGTCTATTCTCTGGGCCACGGGAAGCCAGTGCAGAGACCTGAGGACCGGACTAATGTGGTCGTACTTCCTGGTTCTAGTCAGGACTCGGGCTGCAGCATTTTGAATATACTGCAACTGTCTTACTGCATGTTTGGAGATACCTGTGAGCAGGCCATTGCAGTAATCCAGCCTACTGGAAACAAAAGAATGGATAAGAATCTCCAAGTCTGCCCTGGACACAATATTTTTAATTTTGGCAATATTTTTCAGATGATAAAAAGCTGCTGATGTTAGCGATCCAATGTGGCTATTGAAGTTTAAGTCAGAGTCCATTATTACTCCCAGATTTCTGACCTTATTTAAGGGCCTTAGGGAGAGAGACTGAAGGTGACAAATGACGGTCTCTCTTTGTTTCTCGGGACCAAAGACAATCATTTCGGTTTTGTCCGCATTTAGCTGGAGAAAATTGCATTGCATCCACTCACTGATCCGCTGGATACAGCGAAGGAGTGAGTCCACCGGCCCATGCTCTCCTGCAGTCAGTGAGACATAGATCTGAGTGTCATCAGCGTAATTGTGGTAGGACACTTTCATACTTTGAATTAACTGACCTAATGGCAGCATGTAAATATTGAACAGGAGAGGTCCCAGAATCGACCCCTGTGGCACTCCGCAGGTCAGGGCCATATTATCTGAGACATAGTTTCCAATCTCCACACAATACTTCCTTTCTTCTAGATAGGACCTAAACCAGCTTAGGGCGGTACCAGCAACACCAACCCAGTCCTCCAGTCTCTGCATGAGAATCTCATGGTCAACGGTGTCGAAAGCGGCACTCAGATCTAACATGACTAAAACAGAGACTTTTCCTGCATCAGTGTTAAGCCGAATATCATTTGTTACCTTGACTAGAGCGGTCTCAGTACTGTGGTGTGGTCTAAAGCCAGACTGAAACATGTCAAATGAGTCATTAGATATTAAAAATTCAGTAAGTTGTTGGTAGGCAACTTTTTCAAGAATTTTTCCCATGAAAGGCAGATTTGAGATGGGACGGTAATTTTCAAGTACCGCAGCATCCAAACTGCTCTTTTTTAGGAGGGGCCTAATGATTGCCTTTTTCAGGGCCATTGGAAATGTTCCAGATAAAAAAGACATGTTTACTATTTGTGTCAATGAGGGTAATAGACTACACATAACAGACTTCAGAAATCTAGGAGGTAGTACATCCAGACTGCAGGTAGAGGAACTAAGACCTGTGATTATCTTTTTAACAGTTTCATCATTGACAGGTGCAAATTGAGCTAGCTCACAAAGCCTCACTGGATGTTGCATTGTTACTTGTGTTGTAGAGGTGATGGCATTTCTGATACCCTGAACCTTGTCTCTGAAGAACTGTGCAAACTCATTACACCTGGATTTGGAGTAGTGTTCTAATGGCAACTCAACAGGGGGATTCGTTAATCTATTGATTGTTGAAAATAGAACACGCAGATTGTTGCTGCAGCCTTCAATAGTTTCAGAAAAGTATAATTCTCTTGTTCTACGTAGTACTCTGTTAAACTCACACAACTTCTCTTTTAAGAGTCTATAATCACCCTGGAGGTTGGACTTTCTCCACTTTCTCTCTGCTCTCCGGCACTCTTGCTTCTGTGCCCTGACCGGGCCTGCTTTTATCCATGGGGCTTTTTGCTTATTTGTGACCATTTTTACCTTCACAGGGGCAATGGCGTCCAGAACATTCAACACACTAGAGGTGACAGAGTTAAGCAGTTCATCTACAGTAGAACATGATGCGTTCTCAAAATGGATCATTCCCATAAATAGTTCACCCGTGTTTTCATTTAAGTGTCTACTTCTAACAATTTCATATTTAGCGGGTGGTCTGGTAGCAAAACACATGTTAAAAAATACACAGAAATGATCCGACAGAGCAACATCAACTACATTAACTTTTGAAATATTCACCCCTTTCGTGATAAGCAGGTCCAAGGTGTGTCCTCTGCTATGGGTGGGGCCACTCACATGCTGAGTGAGGCCAAAGGATTCAAGTATGGAACTCAGCTCTTTTGCGTATCTGTCATTAACATTATCCACATGAATATTAAAATCGCCTATAATGACTAAACCATCAAAATCTGTGCACACAACTGAAAGCAACTCAGTGAAATGATCAGTGAAACTATGGCATGACTGTGGCGGCTTGTACACAACAATAATAAGAATGGAAGAAGATTTCTTTTGTTCTATTTAGCATGTACATTATTTATTGACAGAGTTCCTTAGGGCTATCGAAGCATTACGAGTGACACTCATTATTCTAAAGTAAACCATATAGATATGTCAAACACCTGACCTCATACTGTCGAACTCCTGTCCTCTGCAGCACCATTAGATGACATCACTGGACAGCTTTGTTTTTGCATGTCTGTCCGGTTTGTCATTCTCTTTATTTCAAGGCTTATCTCACTAATTATTGTGGTGTGGGCTTCTCACAGCACAACTTTGAACCCATCCATTTTCCATCATTTGTTTATGGTTCGCCTACACAGCTACAGTACAGGTTCATTGTAGTGTTTGTTACACAAACTGCAGCTTTTTTCTACTGAAATTGCTATGTCCAGATTTCAGTGTTTCAATGACTCAAACTTTGCAGTAGAATTATAATCCTGTTTTTATCATGTCTTATATAATCTCATAAACTTTTTGCAGTTTTCTCTCTGGACCCATTATTGATATACAGTTCTTTTAATCTGAAGAGACCAAGACAGAAACTTTAGTGCATAAAAAGATTTATTTGTTTGCCGCATTTGACCCCGGCAGTGACACTTGCAGAGGGGGAGATTGTCAGCTGCTGTAGATGATCTCAGACCCCCCAGGGTCAAGCACTGGTGGTGGCTAGAGTATGGCGGCGTACGCGGAGCGGGAGCAGGAGCCAGAGCAGGAGCCAGACCGGGACCGGAACCAGGAGCCGAGGAGGCACTGGCGGGTGGTGGGTGTTAAGAGCTCAGGAAGCGCCGTTTAACGGGGGGTGACTACTTTTAAACTGGCCACTTCGCAGCCAGTGGGTTGTCAAGGGGCTGGCAGAGCTGTGTGATTGGCAGAGGCTCGAGAGGCTGACAGGGCTGTGTGATTGGCTGGCCCTGGCGGTGAGAGCCATGGCCGGTCTTTCAGGTTGAACTTGCGCTTCAGCTTCATTTCAGTAAATGGCTACTTGAAACGTTAGAGCTGTCATTATGTTATGGATGCAAACCCGCTAACAGTTAGGAGGATGTTGATTGTCCCGATAAAAATAAATATTATCACTGGACATGAGGTGATTTGGAAGGATGCCATATTGCATTACAGAGTATAATGTGATGGTGGTTTTCCTGTTGGAGAAACACACAGGGTGGTGCCCTGCTGCTGAGACAGTTTCTGTGTAACATCTACACGGTGTCTGAGGCGGGGCTATCCTTCTCATGTTCATACATGTCAGAGCGGACACTCTTCTCTTCAGCCCTCAACATGTTGCAACCATCTAAGAGCTATTTGCACTAACATTAAGTTGGGGATCATTCCGAGCCTGTATTTACAGCTAGTGTGATGACCTACATAGAATTAGAAATAGGACATGCTCATCAATTGGAACATAGATTTTTGCTATTGAACCTCTGTTTAAAATGAGAAGCAAGTGACCAATACTTTGATTAAACACATACTATAATCAATGCAGTGACTAATGCATGTTAATAAAGTTATTAATACCTGTATGACACAATACTGAAGCTGTTTATATTTGAGGAGACATGGTTGTCATATCCACAGTGGTTGTCTCTCAGAGGAGAGTGGCTTTATGATGTGTTGAGGATCTTGATGGCTTTGTTGGACAGTTTGACCTAAATAAGCAGTCATGTGTGGTTTCATGGGGCACAAACATAAGGGGGGTCTGTAAATAACACCTCCAGCTTTTCTTTTGTTTCAAAGTCTGTGGTACACCAACCTCCTACTCATTAACATAGGCATAAAGCAGATCTACAGTATTCTGGGTATACTGTATGTGTTTTGTGCTTATGCCGCATGATACGTTATAAAACTCTGATGTGTGACTGTCCTTCTCATCTTGAGCATTATGGCGCTGTTTGGGATTTGGTTTGGCCCCATGCTGTTGGTTGCCGGCTCTAAGTGCAGATCAAAGTGGTGCTTTGGAAAAGGATCAGGGCAGCTCTGGACCATGTTGATGCTTGCTTGGGGTTTATTTTTGTTCACCCTCTGGGCGAGGACCTCCAAATATTATGAAAGTAGGAAGTTGAGCAAGGCTAGTCTATGTTTCAGTCCACTCTGAGCCTTCATTAGAAGCACATGTGGATGCTTTTTGGGCTTTTGGTCTGAGGTAAATGGACCAGACTGTGACTAGATCCCTCAGAAAATCTCAGAATGGCATGTGTGTGCCCCATACGAGGGGTCAGCACCAATGAGAAGGGTCAGACAAAGAGACTGGCAGTAATTTTTCCAACTCCCCAGAGGAGTACTTTTGAAGGAAGAAATTTCAAGTCAAGTTGTTACAGAAGTAATGACTCATGACAATCCTGCCTCCCACATCGGAAGACTGAGGGTAAAACATGGATACTCCTCAAAACTTGACCAGAGATGTACCTCTTTATTGTTCTGTGAATTATTAAACTCACAAAGGCACACAATAAAAACATCCTTCTGCATCCAAAGATCAGTGTGTACCACAGTGTCCCCAAAGAACCAACCAATGTGCCCAATTACAGCCTCATGCTTCAGTTATCCTGTTGCGTAATGTTTTGTGTTTGTTTGGTGTGAAGTTGACCACAATGCTCAGTTTGTTGTTGCACAAAGGATCAGCTTTTTATCCACGCTTCTCCATTGGTTTCCTTGGAGACTAATAACTGCTAAACATCATCACACTCAGTACAGCGGCACACCTCCCACCCCCACACCAAGCTGAATGCAAACCTGCTGAAGTGGCGTAAGGGATTTATGGATTTTATGGATGTCAAAATGTACAAAGTAGACGTATTACAAGGAACAGATGTGGGTAGATCAAAATATGCGTGTAGTTATGTTCAGAAATTAGGCTATCAAACTCATAATTCTAATAATGCAAGTTCTTAAAAAGAAAGAAAAAAAAACACTCAACTAAAGTCATTATTTCCCGATTTTATGCGGCTAAAATCAGGTTCAGTCTTCCTGAAAATGTGAAACAGGTTTTTTTCTCTAGCAATGTTCAAATCCAGGTTAAAACAGTTCCGTGTATCTGTGCTTACAGCTTAGAGATTTTATCTTCACTCTTTTGAATGTGCAGGGATTATTTCTGTATTTATTTTAATGCCTTCTATTGTTTCATCTTGTTTTGTTGAGCACTTTGAGTTCCAGTCAAAGGTCTAAATCATGATTCAGGGTTAATGCTATTATTGTGTAGATATGTAATAGAACAGTATTTAACTGCTACAGAGCTGTGTTTGATAAAGGTATAATTTGTTTTACTTTCGTAGGTAATCAGAGGGTGTCAGTGAGCAGTCTTCTCGTGTGCCATGGGCTGCTGCTGGTTGGCACTAACCTGGGGGTGACCGTGGGACTTTCGGTTCCCAGACTGCAGGGGATCCCCAAGGTGACAGGTACGACAACAGGTGTCATTTTTGACCACATTAAGTATATAAAATTAGGGAAATGGATCAATGCAAGATAACTGTATATATATATATTTATGACTGGATTTTTCATCTGTAGGCCCTGGGCAGAGTGACAACATTGTGCAAATAATTAAAGCTGGAGTACCTAATTATAAAGCACAATAATAAGCTATGCCATCAAATTCATGTGACCAGCTCTCAAAAGCGGTTTGGTTCTATCACAGCTTTCAGTTTGTAAAAATCAATACATATTTAAAAAAACTATATGGATAAAGACATTTTGTGGTGGTCTGATTTGTTCACAAACCGTTACTTAAACAAGGCAAAAATAACGTATTCAGGAAACAAAAACAAGATTCTCCAGCATGAATAAGTAAAATGGCCTAATAAACTTAAGAGTGCAGTCAAAACACAACAGCCACAGTTTTTCCAATCCATGTTTGATTGCACACAGGCAGTATTCATGAAGTGTTTTTGGCCTAGGTCGGGGAATGGTGTCGATGCACTCTCACAGCGGTCCAGTCAAGTTCCTCACTATGGCAGCGGCAGTTTGTAACCGGCTCTCGTCCACATCCCCGTCTCACCCGCCCTGTGCTCAGCCTGCAGAGCTCCTGGGTGAAGACAGCACCAGTCCCAAAGACGCCACCCTCACCCCAGCGCAGGGCAGAGGGGTGTGGCTGGGAGACGCAGGCTGCACCAACATGGCTCTCCAAGACTCCACTTCTTCCTCCTCCTGTGGCTCCCTGGCCCCCTCACAGGGTTCTCTGGAGCACGGGCCTGAAGATGGGGCCTTGTACGACATGTTGCACGACCCGTCCCACCAGCAAAGGGCCCGTTGCACCAACAAGGTGAACATCAGCTCTGTGCTCGTGGTCTCTGGAGGTCTGGGCCACCGCAAAGTCAACAAGAAGAGCAAACCTTCACGACATGAAGACACAACATCCTCTGTTATGATTTGGCAGATCCCATTGATTAACATGTAAAGGACCAGAAGAACAATTCAGATGACTAACTTTGTTTTAAATATTATTACTGAATATTTATGTTTCTGAGACCAGAGCTGCTTTAAATACAAGTACCATGGGAACAAGACAATAAAATTGAAACAGTATTTGATAAAAATGTGTGTTGGAAAAGCTTGTAAATATATGTTTAACATGACTATATCCTTTATTTGTAAGCAGAGCTAATATTGATATGTTTGTGTGTCATTCTACGTGATAGAATTTCAGTATTTGCATTTTTTGTATTACAAAATGTTTAGACTGACTTAAGGTAATCATTGTAAGGAAGTCTCAAGATAATGTTGGAAATTATTGATGAATCAGATATGGTTTTATCAAATAATCATTCTATTGTGAAACACTGAACAGTTGTTGGGAATGGCCCAATATTGCTAACAACAGAAAAGGGAAATAATGACATATTTGAAGAGTTGTAGAATGGGACTTCCTGGCTGGCCAGGTTTAGTCATAGAAAGTAAGAAAGATGCATTACTTACTCATTTGTATGGATTTATTATTTGGGCTACAAAGATTTTTAAATAGATGTTTTATACTGCCACAACATTTGTCTTTATTAACTTCATTGAGCCTTGTCTTAATTGCAGCACTCTCTCTCTCTCTCTCTCTCTCTCTGTCTCTGTCTCTGTCTCTGTCTCTCTCTGTGTCTCTGTCTCTCTCTCCATCTCTCTCTGTCTCTCTCCGTTTCTCTCTCTCTCTTTCTCTCTCTACCTGTCTCTCTCTGTGTCTCTCTCTCTCTGTGTCTCTCTCTCTCTTTGTCTCTGTCTCTCTCTCTATCTCTCTCTCTCTATCTGTCTCTCTGTCTCTCTCTCCCTCTCTCTCTCTGTCTCTCTCTCTCTCTCTCTCTCTCTCTCTCTCTCTCTCTCTCTCTCTCTCTCTCTCTCTCTCTCTCTCTCTCTCTCTCTCTCTCTCTCTCTGACTGTGCAGCCATCAGTACATGCTGTGACTAGTAATGTGCCTGGGGGACACAGGAACTGTGCTTGATACTGCTCTTCCTGAATTTATTTTCTTCCACTGACTTGAACGGGTCAAGACTTTCTCTGTACGCCTCCATTTACTGTTGCACAACCACAATCAGCACTCAGCTTGTGAGGTGGGAAATCCCTTATAAAATTGGCTTCTATTTTGGTTCCATTACTTTGATGTAATGCTTCTGATTTAACAACACAAATGACACTACTCAGGGTGTATGGGTAGATTACATATTATTACTTGTACATTTAGACAGATTTGTTTTACCTCTGTTCATGAGGTTGCCATGGAGATCTTGATTTTATATGTGCATGGGTCAGAAGTAAATCTTTGTACTGTGACTATTTACCATTTGACTCTTGGGCCTGATTGGCCTTTAATTGCAGTTGGTTGATAGATGCATTAGGATCATGGGATGATGTCGCACTATTTTTATTTTTCTAAAGGGCAACTAGATTGTCTTGTCGGTAGGGCTGTCAGGATAATGACTACATTGAGCTGGAATATATTTTAGGGCTCCATATTTATCGCCTGAACATTTTTTTTACAATAGTGGTACGTTGTAGATGTAGATGTATTACTTGGTAATAACATGTGTTGAGACAGTGATTAAAGCTGGGGTATGTAACTTTTCTCATCTCATAAATAATACATGTTGTTCGTTCCAACAAAAGGAGGTCTACACATGCTGTTGCTAGAAGGCTTGAAACATGATATCTTTTACATACTTGTAAGAAAGAGCCCTGTCATTATTTGGCTGAAAGCTGATTGGATGAGTGAGGGTGGTCCTCTGTCCTTCACCTTTCTGTCTGAAAAGCAGATCAAAAGACGTGACAAAAGCCAAAAGCACATGAAAGTCAAAGCAAGTGATAGAGCCATGTTGTTTTGAGACTGAGGAATTCTTACATGGACTTAATGACAACGTTTCATATTTTGTAGTTTGAAGGGTTGGTACCCCAGCTTTAAGTGTTACCTGTTCTGATCATGGATGTGTGATGCTGATTTTATTATCACACTTTTTTCCAGTATATCCAGCATTAAATATAAATACAAAAACATTCATTCATTAAACCTTTAACTACTCTAACTATTTACAACAGATGCTAAACGTGATATATAGGTCAAACTCGGAAGTATATTGACAGCAAGGCAGTCTTGGTGTTGTGTGTTGTCCCAGACCAGTTCCAGTCGATGACCAAAGGAATGCGCCTCATCCTCATCCCGCGCGCGTGCAAGTAGGACAGATGGAGGAGCGCGTTAAATGTAGGGTTAATACCAAGGAAGGGGCGGGGTTTAGATCAATATTAACTGTACTCTACTGTAAAAAAGAAAATAACACCCACACAACTATACAAGCCCTAGTGACGGGAGAAGGCGGGCGGCCGTGAGTGCTGGACAGCTCCGTCTCCTCCGGGATGGGAACAGTCTATGGAACGGTCTGAGGACTTGGCTCTGCTCCGACAGGGCTGATCCAAAAGGAGGCGCGACCTGGACTGACTGACTGTGCACGGCCGTCATTCTGCCTCGCCTTCCACGCACAGTCCACGGCGATTGTACTCTATGCTCACATCAAACCCTTTCAACCCAAGGCGGAGCGGGAGAGACATCGCGCAGGATTTTCGCTCATTTTGATCCAAGAATGCATCGGTGAGTTGCCTCGTCCATTATGACTGCGGCTGCCCTTACGTAACTGGGCTTTGTGGAGAGACGGGGAGAAAGAATCTGCGGGCGTGGGGTTGTTTTATTCACAGCAGGGCAAACGCAGGTAGCTCACGACAAAATTGATCGCCGTAATGGAATCGATGAATGAGTTAAATTAGAGAGAAAATGCATTGAACAAACGCCTTACACGCTATGATCTGCAATCTTACACGCAAGCCTAATGCTACTACTAACAGGATTCAAGATTTGTGGTATTACATAGACTTCCATTCAACCATTATTGAGCAACACCCTTTACGCATGCGCTGTGAGTGTCCACATTGCTAGAGATATGATCACAAATGCAACCCCTAAGCTTGTATGGGCTGCAGTTACAATGTTAATGCATTATGTGACTTGTTGTCCGTCTGTTCTCTATAAATGGTTGCTTTTAGTGCCAGATTAGAGATTCAATAGGTTTGCTTATTAGGCTATAGTATTCTTTTATATCTCATTCATTCATTTTGTGTTGATCTTCTTTGATCCATAGATGCAGCGAGCAGTGGCAGAAATCACTCCATCTGGCAGACTATGTTCACTCAGCATGAATTGTGAAGCCTCCAGCAACTAGTGTAATATGAGTGAGGACTGGATGCAGAGAGGAGGGGCCGTTACCCTGGACACCGATGCCACCATCCATGTGTCCGCCACTGATCTTGTGACGCAGGCCAGTCTGAAAGATGGAAAGCTGCGTGCAAATGGCATTCACGATTTTCGACAGGAGGACGAACAGCTCAGCCCGCTACTCGTGGTTGAGAAGGAGTATTTATTGGATGGGAGGCTGATCGACAATAATCACAAGGACAATGGCAAGGATCAAGCAACATATACCTCAACATCTACAGAAACAAGTGCCCATTTTGAAACTGCTCAGCCCAAAACGTTAGCAAGCACGCAACAAAACTGCACAGCAAGTGAAATCCGAAACGGGGCGAGAGCAAAAGTGTCTTACCATGCTGATTCTACAACGCACAATTCCGGCCAAACTGTACAGGAAGCGAACTGCTCCGATCGACCATCTGAGGACAGCGGCCAGGAAGCAGAAAAAAGCTTGTCGAAAAACGAAGAGCCAGATTTAGTCATCGAAGTTGGCGGACAGACGATCAATGTTCACAAGTCTGTGCTGGCGGAGAAAAGCGACTATTTCAGAGCTCGCCTGTCACGAAATGTCCTGAAAGTCAAAGGTGTCAGCTTCAAAACCATGTCCACATTGATAAATTATGTTTACACAGCACACATGAATGTTAGCAAGGATAATGTCGTGGATGTCATCACCGGGGCCAAGATCTTACAAATCCCCTGTGCAGTCCAGGCCGCTATGGACCGTATGTCTGAGCAAATCACAACACAGAACTGCTACGAGATACTTACAATAGCCAAAAAACAGCGTCTGAGCGAGCTGAAAGAGACTGCGTACGGGTTCATGAGCGACAACTTTCTCCAGATTTTGAAAGACCCCTCGGTTTATGGGCGTCTCACTGGATCTGAGAGAGATCTGGTCTTGAGGAAGCGAATGGAGGGGAAGCAGGTGCTCATGGTGGCTGAGGTGAATGATGTTTTTGACCGTGTAGGAAGCAGGCCTCCAAGCCGCTGTGGAAGTCGCCCACAGAGTCCATTGTCAGTGGGGTCTCTGGAGGATAACCACATGATTTACTATTATAATGAACTGGTCAATGACTGGACAGCCTTGACTTCCATGCCTGATGACCTCAACACTAAGGGCTGTGGTATCTGCACTATGTATAATTATCTGTTTGTGGCAGGGGGGATTAAGGGAAATGGAGACAAGGGTAAAGTTTCTGATCGAGTCTTCTGCTACAATCCGATCTCCAACAGCTGGTCCGAAGTGCGACCTCTGATCCAGGCTCGAGCCCAGCTAAAGCTAGTGTCTATGGACGGTTACTTGTACGCAATTGGGGGAGAATGTCTTTTCACCGTGGAAAAGTACGACCCTCGCATGGACCGCTGGACCACGGTGGCTCCTCTGCCCAAAGGAGCCTTCGCCGTGGCCCATGAAGCCACAACCTGCAGCGGGGAGTTGTACGTCTCTGGAGGATCTCTCTTCTACCGACTCCTGAAGTACGACCCAAAGAGAGACGAGTGGCAGGAGTGTCCTTATAACAACAGCAGGAAAAAGTCCAGTGATATGGTGGCCCTGAAAAGCTTCATCTACCGCTTCGATGTCAACCGTGAGCAAGGAATAAACGTGTTTAAGTACAATACCATAGTGAAAATGTGGCACGACTGCGCTTCGCAAAAAATCGGAAGCCTTTTGCCTTTCCGATGTGCAGTCATTGGAAAGTACATCTACTGTGTCAACAAGAGCCAGACTTTGCAGTTTGTAGTCGAGGAGGAGAATGCTTACTTTGTGGAGGAGATGCTCAAGGCGCCAGTGGAGGCTCGGGGCGTGCTGTTCCCCTTTGTTCTTACGTTGCCTGCAAAGTCAGAGAAAGTTACATAATAAGTCCGGTCCTAAAGGGGGTGCTTTAGCCAAAATTCAATAAGCAACACATTATATAGACTTGTAAATGTATCTCAGTGTACTAATGGCTGCTTTCAATGTGAGTTTCTGCATGAGAATTTAATGCATCTATGGGTTATGCCTTAAAGATTTGCTTTGAATGGAATATATTTCAATCTGAAACTGTAGATATGACAATATGAAGGTTACAGTTTGTGTGTCGGCCATCTTGGTGTACCCTTACATGTGAAAGAGAACCATTATGTCTAATAGATGGATGTTGAATGTGCAATCTGAATGACAGCGTATATGCAACCATGGAATTAGATGGTATTAGATGTAATAGAAGGCAAGTGAGCTGAATGGAAGCGAGCTACGTCTTGCTCAAGGTAGATAAGATATTCCTTTAAGCACTTTTTTGTCCCTTCCTGATTTTTCCATTGTTTAAGTTAAAAAGGGCATGCTTGGTCATGCTCGTGGTAGTCTTCCTCAAGTTAGACTGGAATCTACTACTTAAAGGTACTAGTGATCAGTATGATATGCATAGTTTATTTAGATTTTTTTATCCATACATTTATAACTAAGGTCTTATTTCTATGTAGATTGTTTTGCACCTACTTTAAACTTTAACATCAAATGTATAAGCACAAAGTCAGAAAGCACTAATGTGAGATCCAATTATAGATTCTATATTAAACTGAAAACTAATAAATTATATAGTAAGTATAGATGTGCCAAACACTTAAACTATGAAAGTTAATATCTCCCTATTATACTACTATTTGTCTGTATCAAAATATATTTACAATGATATTGACTATTTAATTAGATGCTGATTTTTGCGATCCCATCCTCACCCAAAGTAACCACAGTATTGCCAAAAAGAACTTAAGTTAAAACTCAATGCATACATTTTCTGGTTAGATGGAATGGCTTTGACTCTTGTTCTTTGGCCACAATAAGTTTTAAAGACCCCAGTACACTTGTTTGTGTTGTATAAAAGCCACCTTCATTTTGATACAATGTTTGAACTGCACTAATACTGCCAGAAGGCTGTGTGTGAGAGGGTCAGGCCTTTGGAGAGTGTGTGTATAAATGTGACCGTGACACAGGCATCGTTGATGTGTGTAACATTTTGGTATCTCGCTGGCTACATCTGTATTTTGTTACTTTTATATGAAGCGCAGAGCTTTTGATATGCTGCTGTGATGGACATGTTTAGGTTCAGACTTTTGTTAATGACATTTGAAGTGGCCTGATGAAATAGCTGTTGATAAAGTCCAAAACACGTGATTCAAATAAATATTGGTCTTTAAAACAAATGTCTTATTTGCTTACTTCTGTACAGTATAGTCCTCAGCATCATTGTTCAACTACTGTACATAGCTTCCATCATTTGTTCAGTCACACTGCCATCTAGTGGTCAAATCAGAATATTACAAATACTGTTTGGTAGCCATGCATTTGTATCTTCACGTTCACAACATCAAAGGTACTAGACCAGAGAGATTGGTACAATAGAATTCGTGTAATGCACTTATTAAGAACTTACATACTACCCCTTTAAGATTAAAAGTAATCTTATAGAAGCTGTATGTAAAAATCTAATTTCAAATAGCATCCACCTCTTTTGTCTAAACACGACATCAGCCTGTCCAAATCATTTTATGATTTTTTACACATTATTTATGTGTACATGTTATTCCTCAAGCTGATGAGAAGCAGAAACTGCCTCACTTGAGTCTATCAGTTAGGTTGCCAGTTTGTGTGTGAAAAATTAAAATCTAGGCTTGGTAACGACCTAAAACAGCAAGGAGCAAACCGCGGCTCATGGGCTCGATGCGGCCCTTTGGACGTTTCTACCAGGCCCCTTAGCCCTCCCCAGCTCATGTCTCTATAGTATAAAGACTATAAAATCCTTCTGTGTTGAGTGCAGAGCTCTGGAGCAGCAGTTTCCCTCTGTCGCTCTGCTGTAATATACTATTTAGGAAATTAGGTCTGGACCCGGCTTAAGTTTGTCCGTACCTGACCTAAACCCAGAGCAGATGAACCACCTCAGAGCTGTGTGTGTCCTGAGCCTGCATGACAACACAACTATTTTTGTACCATGTTAGAAAAAATAACATGTCACCTGTTCATTTGAACTTGTACTACCCTCATGTCAACTTCTTGTGTTGGGTCATTGTGACCCAAAGGTAGAACAAGTGCCCGCAGCAGCTTGGGTATTCTCAAGCTAACTCAGACTTGTATTCAAGATCGATATTCTGTAATTATTATAAACGCGAGTTGTTCTGGCTGGTCAGACAGAGAGTGTATTTGTTTGTATCTTTCCCACATGTTATTGAATAAGTGTCCACTGGAGGGCAGTATGGGACTGAGATAAAAGGAAAATCAAAACATTCACACAGTATCTACTCTGGGCCTGGTGCAAGTGAGTGATGGGAATATAAAATGAACTACAAGAGTGCAACAATACTTGTTTATCAGATCACATAGTGAGAAAGTATCTGTTTCTTTATATTCAAGCTTTCAAACCAGCTCAAAATATATTTGGTATTCTATCAAATATTACTCATTTTATAAACTTTATAGTCATGGCACTCAAAAAGCTACAATGTGTGATTCTAAGATAAATATTCCCATCCTCATTGACGTTCTCTTCATGAAGTATTATTATTGAATTATTTCCATAATTTCTTTTAGTCATTTGAATGCAGGGCTTGTAAAATCTTTGTCATCTTTACCTAAAGCTAAGAATACCCCATAAGGACTTTGTGATTTTGAACTTCTTTGTTAAATAAATAAAGACCTAGTGATTTAGGCTTCTCAGCGGAATGCCAATTGATCTTAAAATCTTAAACCCGGGAAGATAAAATATGAAATGGCTTCACAACAGCTTATGTGATAAGCCAGTGGATTGCTTTAAGCAGCCTCTTTCTTGTCAAATGGCACAGAGATTTTGCGTTGCCAAAGTGGCACTGTCTTTTAATTTCCAGTTGATTATCTATGATTATGCACTAACTTGTACCGCTTTTAGAAGAAAAAAACGACCATAAATGAGAATCACCAGAGAAAAGTATTGCCCGGGGAGAGGCATCAAGTAATGTGCTTTTCTGTATCCACCCGCACTCCCTCACTTCTTGCCATTTGAATAAACCCAGAATTATTTACACCTTCAAGGCAACTCGGCTGAACCGTACATCAGTCAATTAGTTAATCAGAAATTTTCTGTGATTTCAGTTTAGCGTGCAGTCCTTGGCTCCCTCTGGTCCCCCCCGTTTTAGTCTCTCATCCTGACAGTGACAAATGACTCCTCTGCTTGGTGAGATTGAAAATTAAAAGCATTTAAAGTTGCTCATGCATTTATGCTAATGAAAAATTCAGATATGATTTGCATGCGAAAGAGGCTAGTCGAAGAGCTCATCATTGGCCTCGGCACCTCCAGCCAATTTCTCCAGGCAAAGCTTTTCACTGGAGATTTTAGCAGAGAAGAAAACCGTGTTGTAAACATGCTTGACATGCAAGAAAAAGTATGTCTGATTTTGCTCTATATTGTCGTTTACATTTCTATACATTTCTGTAACCTTACATTTCCCTTCCTTCAGGCCCCACAGTCAAATGAGGTCATTGTGTGGGGGCCTGTCACAGCAGGTTGCAGGGGCCCCTTATTGACAGCACACACTCTACTGCATGGGTCAGCAACATCACAGACTGTCCATCCCAGTGCTGACGTCTGCTTTGCTCTTTACGGCTGGGTCTGAGATCACACAACTACTGCATTACGACATGACCATATGTGATCAATATTATCTTATAGTTATCCAATCAGATCATCATTTCAACCATTTTGATCTATTCATTCATTTTGATCCCCATTAGCTTCCACAAGTGGTCGCAAGTCTTGGGTCCACTTCACATAGGATCAATTTATATTGCAAAATAATAATAATAATAATAATAATAGCACAGGCAGAGACAGGAACACAGACATTACAAAAGTTCAAACCTATTGTACAAAAAGCGATTGCAATACAAAACATCACCAATCGGTTTTTAATTATAAACATACAATAATAACAATGTGACATCCCAACATGTGTCAAAACGTATGATTCCAGTAGAAACATAAACATAATGTTTTGATGTATTAATATTTGTGTAATCCCTAATAATTTTGATAATTACTAATAGTGATCTGGGAATCATTTTAAATTCATTCCATCAAACTGAAATTCCAGAACACGAGAACAACCTATTAAAGCAAGAGAACATTGTTTCTATGGAGACAAGTGGAAGGAGAGATGTCTGTGGAAATGCCAGCCTGCCACAGTAAGAACGCTCCTTTACATTACTTTGTGCCATTAAATATGATGGAATAAAATAGAAAAAACATGTTCCCCCATTCTGTATTCTTTAAAGATATGGCTCTTGGACTTTGAAAGCCCAATGGACGGGCTTTGAGCCATGGGTGCCGCGGATAGACATGGTGTCCCCCTAGTGGTGAAAAATAAAACCACCAACACATACTAAATAATAGCAATACTAATAACACTAACAATAATAATAATGCATAGTTTTATATAGTGCTTTCTGGGACTCTCAAAGATGCTTCACATGTCATTATTTATTCACTCCATACACAGAGATTGATAAACGTCTACTTTAGCCAAAGCCACACACACACACAATTTGTATATTCCCACCAGATATCTTATTTCCTGTATCATTTAGAAACTAATATATGAATTTTCCTCCGTCACATTTACACACTCTGCAACAACAATATCCATCTATGAGCTGCAGCTGCTTTGACCACCCACTTGGTATGCATCAAAATACTACAACTACTGTTTTAAATACCGAAATATTCCTGACCTTTAGAATTTAACGTCGTGGAACAGAGCAAATGGGATGTGCTTGTGATGTTCATGCAATACTAAAATTGACATAAAAATCAGAATCAGATTTTTTTTTGTATTGTTATTGTAAGTACCAGGAAC